TAGAGAGAGAATGAAAGAAGAATGAGAGACGAGAAAGAAAGAAAAGAGAGAAAAGAGAGATAGAATAAAGAATATGATAGGGAGAAAGAATAAGAAATTATAGAGATAATAAAGAAAGAAAGAAATCAAGCTAGAAGGAGATAACGAAAGAGAGAGAGAAATATAGAGATAGAGAAAAATAGAGAGCAGGAAGAATTTAAAAATTATTGCAATAAATCTTTTATTACCCTTATCGTATTTATTCCCATCCTTTATTTCGAGAATGCCCGGAATCCCTTTGCATCGGTAGCGCCGAAATTTCATATGATTGCGAGAGTATTAAAACCAAATTTTAACCATGCCATCGTTGCAGCGATATTATCATTATTATTATTATTATCATTAGTGACGGCGCAACTAATTATATCGGAGTTCTTCCTTTAGCGAATTATTCTTAATATTGTTATTATCAATATTATCATTATTCTTATTATGAATTCCAATTTTTTGGTATCTTTAACCAATCTTAGTTATATATATCTTTTAGAACCATATTATATAAATATAGAATCGTAATTCGGATTCCGCCAAGTCTATAGCTCCTTGCAAGTTGGTATTCATTGTTTCTTGCCCTCTGCCTCTCATCGACTCACTGTCCTGGAACATCTCGCCGGTCGCCATGCCACAAGAAAACCGCGAAACTTGTCCTCTAGGGGCTCTACCCACTGCTGCATGCTAACTTATCAAGCAACATCAGGACACTCAACGAACTTGACAGCCGAGCCCTATACTGCCCAGAACCAAAAGAAACATCCATGTCTAAACATGCACATATGACACACAAGACAACTCTTCCGAATTTGGAGAGGGAGGGAGAGAGGCAGACTGAATACAGTTCTTGCTGTCCTCTCGGGTTACATTCGGAAGCAGGGCAAAGATTGGGATTGGGATCGAACTTGGTTCAGACCTGGCATCCTGGCGAACACCATGCGAGCGATCCTAAGCGCTGGTGTCTGCAGTGGGAAACTGCTCTCCTCTACGAGCATAGACTCTGATCCTCAATCTCTATGGCCAAATAGAGGTCAAAGATTTTGATTATACTGGCTAACAGCGACGCATAGACTCTCGAATGCCACATTCTTACCAGTACGAGACCCGGGATGTGCATCTCCGAAGCTTCCCCACGGCAGACATAAGGAAAATGAAAGAACCCCCTTTGTTGCGCCGGAGCCAGGAGCCGTGCTCGAAGCAGTTCTGAGTTCTAGGATTCCTTGGGTTCTCTGAGATATCTGATACATATGTATATATATATATGTACATATATATAACATACCAATGTAACTATAATATATGTATATATATATGTATACATATATATTACCTATTTTGTCTTTTGCTTCGGAGCTCCTTGTCTCCTGCAAGCATTCCCCCGACCTCGCAGAGATGGAACAGAGCTCAGAGCTCCTTTGTCGCGTTTAAAAAATGGGGATTGGCGCCGTGGCTGCGGATCTAGTGATCGAGTGGGATCTCGCGCGTCGTTCCTCTAGGCCGGGGCGCAATTACATCCCAGACCCTGCATGGACGACAGTGGATAGGGTTTAGGGTTTAGGGACAAGCATGATGCCCATTCCCGATAGACTCGGAAGACCCTATCGCAAGAGATTATCACTGCTGCTACAGCCCGTCTGGCATCAAATGGAGGCCAGCAGTGAAGCACGGAGACTGCTGCGCACCAGCTCGGAGAATATGTTTTGCTGATGTCTCTCGGCTGTTTTGGTATCAACTCGCACCTCGACCGACTGTAGACAGAGCTTGCCTTGGCAGCGACACGCACACATGCTTGCTCCACAACTTGCTACAGGTACGATTGACGGCGCATCAGAACTAGAACTAATCAGCGAAAGCACGTGCATGCAGAGAACACGAGCACTCCCGATGCAGCATACGCAGCAGTCCCTCACGCATGCAGCGTGGATGTACAAAACACCCTTTCGGTGTCTTCCACAAGCGGCTATAGCAGAACCCGTTTCTGGCTCAGATCACCTGCGAGGACATCTTGGTCTCAATAAGTTTTCATGATCCCCTTCTTGGCTTCGGGTATGTTCCAGCACCTGTGGTGCCCGCTTAAGTAACATCTGACTGTGCGCCTTAAAGTTTCTTTCGGACATACCGTTGAGCACTGCGAGCTACGCAAGCATTGTAGTGTGTTCCGGTCGTGGAAGGCTGCCACTGTGACCCTAATGCTACGTACCCTGGAGCGATTCCACCTACTGGCGAGACTGCTGTTGCTCTTGCAGTCCTGATGGTGGCGAGGAGAACCATAAGGCTCAGAACCAAGACCATATGCGCCAAAAGGATAGGGAGCAGGATAAGGCTGAATGTAGGTGAATCTTGAACCTGCTGTTGGTGGTGCAAGCAGGAGTGCCAGCAGTGCACAACTTTTCGGAGCTGGTGCCTCGAGTAAGGAGATGTCTCAGGGTCCTCCTGCTAAACTTTAAGAAGCAGCTCCTTGAAGGACGCTCTCTTTTAGCTCCACATGATGCTAAAAATCGATCTCCCAGGCAGATCCTTTGGAATCCTGGGTCAGGAAGATACCAGTGACCAAGCATCACCTGGGGATCTACTTACCCCTCTAGGCGCTTCTTGCCGATCTTGTAGCCGGCAAAGAATGTGAGGCCCAAGACTGCAGCTTGTACAAGACCTTGGCGAAGGGCCGGTCTCGCTTCGTGCCAAAAAGCAGGCATGGGACCACAGAACCTGAATAACAGAATCTTAGCCCCCTTTTCTTGGGCAAACGGTGCCATAGACTTGACCTGAGATGCGGTGCGCAACGCGGAAGCCCAGGGCCTGTCGTGCCTTGGCGGCCTCTGCCACAGAGGACCATTTCCTGAGCTTTCAGGGTATCTTAAATTAAGGCGTCACAGCCACTTCCGGGCAAGGGGAGCACTGGAAATGTTCTTGGGTCGCGGTTGGTCGAGATTTTTGTTGATCTCGAAGCAGGTCATTGCTTTGAGGCGTGACTTGCTGCAGTAGTCCGAAGTTCATGGCCCCTGCAACACCCGAGCATCTGCAATTCTTGCAATGCGGAAACATATTTCCCAGTCACTTGTCGAAGCTGAGATTCCGGTCATCCTTCTTCGCATCGCTAAGCACACTGATGCGCAGGAGCACAGCGAGCACCACCAAGCCCATCTTCCAGAGGTTGCCGCTCCTCGGAAACGCAGACACAGACACACAGCCAGGTGTCCCTATCTGCTCTCTTCTGTGTGTGCGTGTAATAAAAAGGAACATGTGTGTGTGTGTGTGCGTGCAAGTACATGTTTATGTATTGATACATATATGTATAGTGTGTGTGTGTGTCATATAAATGAATGTACAGACAAATAGACGGATGAATCGATAGAAAACCAGATAGATGGAGACATACACGCATGTATACATGGCAGACATACGCAAAGAAAACGACCCAAACAAGAAACGCAAATTCAACAAGCAGTCAAACACACGATAATGAGTGCGTGTGTGGGCGCGGCATCCCAGAACCCAGAAGACATCAAAAGTTCTTGTTGTTTTGTACCTGTGTGCTAATAGCAGCGGACGCCTTCTGTCATACACTAAAGTCCCCATGCAGAGCTTACACGTACATACATACATACACACATACATACATACACCTATACAGACGGAGAAAAAGAGAGAGAGAGAGAGAGAGAGAGAGATGTATACAGAGTTCCTACACTCTGGAGACCCGCGATACATATGCATCGTAAAGCCTGTACGTCTAGATGGAGTCTGACCTTCCCAGGTCCGAGGAGCTCCACCCTCTGGGCGATCCAGCTCACGGCGTGGGCTTCCGGCAGCCAGGTCTCGGTGAACTTCGCGCCTTCGGTCGGGAACGAGTTCGGATCTCGGGGGGGTCTGTGGTAGGTTTGGCGTTTCGGCTTTCAGACGTTGGCATTGCGGGCTGTTGAATTTGAGGCATGGGCATTGGATCCCGTGTTTTCATCGCAACTACTAGAATGTGCTACAGCACGATTGTACTGCATAGGATGCGGTGTACTAGAACGCACAAAATCTAGACCCAATTTAACATACGAGCCATAAACCCTAAACCGCGAAACTCCAAGGCCCTACAACCCGAAAGCGTAAAGCTCGAAACGACAACGACAACAGAACCGGAAGGCCTTCAACCCAACAGCCCTAAACCGTACAAGCCCGCAAAAAGCCCCTAAACGCGAAAACCACCAAGGGCCTAAAACGTACCTGCAACCCCTAAGCCTTTATTTCCAAGGCCGCTGCAGCCCCCAGGCCTTAAACTCTAAGCCTTCAACACTGAACCTAAACCCCTAAGTAAGCCCGGCAACCCCAAACAACCCCGGAGGCCCTAAACCCAAAGAGCCTAAACCTTCAGGCCACGAAAGCACTAAAAACTCCGAAGGCCCTACACCCGAAACCGGCTACTCTCGAGCATCATGATAAACAAGAGAGCCAGCATAGAAAGTTTGGGAGAACCTTAAAACCCATTCTGATTAGTCGGGTCCGTTTCTGACACCCTGCACAAACCCTAAACTCAAGCCCATAAACCTAAAAATACACTTTTCAAGCACTATCAAACCGTTTCAAGCCCTGTATGAAATCTTCTAAAGCCCCTGGTCAAATCCGTAAAGGCCAGCCTGCCCAGCCGAAGTCCCGACCCTGTGAATCGGCAGCCGCCTTACACATGGAAAACGAGCTCAACTATGTTGCGGCTCGTAATCTGAATTCTTGTAGTGCTCTTGCAACTTGTCACTACAAGTAAGGCGGGTCTCGGGTTCCGCGTTCCGGGTGCCAGGGTCCGGGGTCCCGTCCTGTTCAAAGCCGGAGGCTGCAACCCGGAATTCAGGATCGGAGGCTGCTCTTCTTGCTATCGTTGCTGCCGTCGTTGTCGTTGTCGCCGTCTTCGTTGCTGTTGCGTGGCTGTTGCTGCGGCTGTGGCTGTGGTTGTGGCTGCAGTGCTGATTGTGGTTGTGGTCGTGGTCGTGGGAGTGGTTGTGGTTGTGGTTGTGGTTGTGGTTGTGGTTGTTGTTGTTGCTGTTGTTGGTGGTGGTGGTGGTGGTGGTGGTGTGCGTGCTGGTGCTGGTGTTGAGGTTGGCGTCGGTGTTGGGGTTGCTTTTGCTGTGGATGCTGTTCTGCTTCGTTGTTGTTGGTGTTGATATTGTCAGTGTTACTGTTATTGCTGTTGTTGCTTTTGTTGTTGCTGGTGGTGGTGGTGGTGGTGGTGGTGGTGGTGGTGGTGGTGGTGGTGGTGGTGGTGGTGGTGGTGGTGGTGGTGGCGGTGGTGGTGGTGGGGGTGGCGGTGGCGGCGGTGGTGGTGGGGCTGGTGCTGGTGCTGGTGCTGGTGCTGGTGCTGGTGCTGGTGCTGGTGCTGGTGCTGGTGTTGGTGTCGGCCTTGTTATTATTCTTCTTTGTCGCTGTTGTTGTAGCTGAAGATGTAGCTACTTTAGTTTCAGTTTTGGTTTGTAGGTCTAGTCGTGGTAGTAGTAATTGCTGCTGTTGGTGTTGGCGTTGATTCTGCTGCTTCCGCTGCTGGTGCTGCTGTTGCTGTTGCTGTTGAGTGTTGTTCTTATTATTGATCTTTTAATTGTGGTCGTTGCAGCAGTAGTTGTCCAAGATGCTATTGTAGTTGCTGCATTTTCTGCAATACCTGTATCTTTTGTAGTTTCTGCAGTTGCTGTGGTTGCGGTACTGACTGCATGTGTTGCAGGTACTGTACGGTCTTCTGAGCGTGGCAGGCGCTGCAGGTGTTGCGGTCGTTGTTACGGCTATTGATGCTGCTGTTGTTGTTACTGTTGAGTGTTGTTCTTGTTATTGATCTTTTAGTTGTGGTCGTTGCAGTAGTAGTAGTAGTAGTAGTAGTAGTAGTAGTAGTTGTTGTTGTTGTTGTTGCTACTGTAGTTGCCGCATTCTCTGTAATCATTGTCTGTAGTTGCTGCAGTTGCTGTGGTTGCGTTGCAGGTACTGTACGGTCTTGTGTGCGTGGTAGGCGTTGCAGGTGTTGTGGTTGTTGTTACGGCTATTGATGCTGCTGTTGCTGTTGTTGCTATTGTTGCTGTTTTTGTGGTTATTGGTGGCGTTGCTGTTGCTGTGGCTGTATCTGTGGTGCTGCTGTGCTGTTGCGCCGTTGCGCTGTTGCGCCGTGGCGCTGTCGCGCTGACGCGCTGTTGCTGTTTCTTTTGCTTTTGCACCTGCTGTCGTGGTTGTCGTCGTCTGCTTAATCATGATCGTTTTAAGATTCTTGTAGTTCTAGCTGTAGTTATTGCATTTGCAATTACTGTATGTGTTGAGGTTGTGGTAGTTGTTGCTGCGGTTGCAGTTGATGCCGCCGCTGCTGCTGCTGCTGCTGTTGGTGTCAATGTTGGTGCTACTGTCTGCGTTCTTGTTCTTGTAAGTACAATTCTAGTTGTAGTTGCAGTAACTGTAGATGTTGTAGTTGCGGTCTGTGCTGCAGGCATTGCAAATGCTAGAGTTGTAGTAGTTGCGGTAGGTGTTGGAGGTTTATTGACTGTCGATATCGGATATCAATGTTGTTGTTGCTGTAGTTGTTCCTCTTGCATTTGTTCTTGAAGCCTTGGTGCTCTTGCTGATTTTGTTCTCTTGAGTTTGACCTGGTGCTTTTGTTATTCTTGCTGTGCTGTTTGTTACTATTGCTCTTCTTTCCGTTACGCTGGTTGTTTTTGTTGTTGTTGCTGTTGGCGTTGCTGTTGCGGTTACTGTTGCTGTTTATGTTGCTGTTGCTTTTGCTGCTGCTATTGCTGTTGCTGGTGTTGTTGCTGTTGCTGGTGTTGTTGATGTTGTTGCTGTTGCTGCTGTTGCTGCTGTTGCTGCTGTTGCTGCTGTTGCTGTTGATGCTGTTGCTGCTCCTCTCCGTCGTCGGTCCTCGGGGTCGTTCGTCGTGGGCTCCTGGTGTCGGATTCCGGTTGCGGATCGGATGTCCCGGTCGGGTGATGTGACGAATTCATTCTTTGTCATCCATAGGAGCCCGCCGCATAGAGTCTGCTGCGTGGTAGACTTGCTTCTTGCACAAGGAGGTACACTCTCGTGCGGTGGAAAGCGTGAGAAAACGCAATCGATTCAGGCGGCATGCTGAAAACATCAAAGATCAGCGGTGGGACTACGATGTTCGCCCATTGAAAGTGCAGCGTGGATTGCGAAGGGGACGGGGCCAGCAAAAACGGTTCGATTTGTTGTGAACAGGGATCGGGGTGTATGGGTGGACATGACCATGAACATACTTTCTTGGCTCCACAGATTCTCCCGGGCATCAGCCGTTCAGAACTACGCTCGCAACTGTGTACACAAGCAGGGGGTCAGTGGTTATGGTCTCCATGGCTATACAACAGCGAGATGCCAAGCACTGGTCCAGCACCATCGCCGATTCCAGAGCTGCATTGATGCCCTGCCCGACCTTCAAGCACCATGAAACAGTTGCATCTTCGGTGTCTGGCTATCTTCTGTTCAGCTATCCCTGAAAGCCCATCCGAAAGGCCTACAAGGCGATTAAACCCTGAACCTGAAACCACAAGAATGACATCCCAGCGACAGGGGGAAACGGGTTGCCGGCATCACCAAGCAGGACCAAGCGCCCTGCCGCTCGGCGCACTTTAAGGTTTAGATTTAAGAATTTAGGAATCTACGATTTCAGAGTTTAGGGGCTTACTATGTGGTTTTTAGGATTTCAAGGCTTTCGGGGCTTATCGGCTCAATTACGCTTTCAGCATTTTTCTTCTTTTCTGATGCCATCAAGATGCAGACTAGATGTCACACTGAAACCAGTGCAAAGTCTGTTGGGAAGAGGCTCTTGCTTTAGTTCAGAGCTTCGGGCATTGACGCCAGCAAGCCCGAGCAAAAAAGAAACCCCGGATACAGGAATCAGGACACAGGAGTCCGACCGCGTGTGAAAGAAAGCAAGCCCGGGCCGACAAAAAGCTCAGCACATACGCGTCGGACCGCATGAAACACAGCAACCCCCGAGCAAACAGGGAACCCAAAACACAGGGGGACACACGAGTCTGACTCATGGAACAAAACAAACCTGCGGCCAAGAAGGAACTCGGGACACCGGTTGGGCCGGAGGGGTTGTCCGGCGAACCCTGGGGTTGTCCGACGAACCTTCGGGGTGGTCCGGTAAACCCCTGGGGTTGTCCGGCGAACCCCTGGCGTTGTCCGAAGAGTTCTGAACCGAACGGCAATGTCATTGATTGCCGATCTTTGGTGAAGGGTTGGGCCGGACAACCCGGGGTTGTTGGGGTTGTCCGGCCCTGGGTAAACCGCTGGGGTTGTCCGGCGACCCCTGGGGTTGTCGGGCGAACCCCGCACTGAGAGGTTCAGAAGGCGGAGGATGCAGCCGAAGGTTGCGGATTTCGGCCTGCCAACACAGCATGGTTCACAAAACTTGTTTGTTTGCCAAGGGCTGCTTGGGCGCCTAAGCGCTTCGAAGTCTGGAGGCTTAGAGGTGTCAGGAAAAGACACGCTTGTGTCCACCCAGGCAAGCCTTCGCAAAGCTTTGCTTCGTTTAAAGACGTAAAGAAGACCTCCAAAACAAAACGGATTGGCACATGCATCCTAAGAGAAATGGACAAGACTAACCAGAAAGTCTTCAGCCATCTGCCAGGAACCCAGGACACAGGGGTCCGAGCGCCTGAAACATAGCAAAGCCGACTGCACAAGAAACTCGGGACACAGGAGTCTGACCGCAAACCCAAGCGAACAAGAAACCCAGGGCACAGGAGTCTCACCACATGAAACAAAAAGACCTAGGTCACAGGAGTCCGACCGCATGAGATAATGCAAACCTGCACACACCAGAAACTCGGGACACAGGTGTCCGACCGCATGGAACAATGCAAACCCGCGCGAGCAAACAACAAACGTAGGACGCAGGAGTCCGATCGCACGAAACACAGGCAACCCGCTAAACAACAAACTCAGGGCACAGGAGTCCAACTAATGAAACAGGCACGGGGCAACCAAGAAACCCAGGTGAAACTACGCAAACCCGAGCCAACGACAAATCCAGGAAGTGTCCGGGCCGTTTTAGATGGTTCAGGTATTGAGGTTTAACATCTGTAGAGTCCAGCTTATATGGAGGTGCGTACATGAGTATCCTGGCTGCTATATCAAGACGTTTCGGATGCTGACATCAGCCTAAACCCTAGACCCTCAACCCTAAACCGAGCACAGTGCACGGCAGAAGCACACGACATCTGGCCAAACATCGCAGATCCGCGGAGGCATCGTGTGACTCAAATTGCAGCCACATAAGTTCTCTTAGAGTTGGGCTTAGGGTTTAGTGCTTTTCCGTGTATTCTCAAGGATGGTCGCTTGTGGCTCGCCTGCATTGAAGGTGTTGCAGACCACAGCCCGTCCAATATGCACACACTCCCGCTTGGCGAAGGCTGCCAGCTCTTTGTCAGAAACATGCCCTTGGCTGTCATGCTCTCAATGGCTGGTGCACAGGAGTTGCACAACAAGCTCTCAAATCGACCTGCTAGTTCATTCCAGCATCGAAGCACTTTGGGAGCTGTCTTCTTGATGTATTTAATCGCGTCGGGAACATCTTTGAACTCGTTCTTGCACCTGAAGCCTATCTGGCAAAACCTTGGTCAGGACGAGTTGTCAGGAAGCTCAGAAGTCAAGTTTGAAGGAGATGCAAGTGCGTCGGAGGCAGGGCAAGGAATGTCTACAGGCTTTGCATCCCTTCAGGACAGCGTTAATACCTCGCCCTGAACTTGAAGATAAACATGACCCCAAGGGTAGCTCAACTTGGCTCTGGACCATTTAGGATCTCTGGGACCCCCGTCGCCATTAATTGCACCGGCGACAGCAGGGGGATCGATGTTGAGGACATACAACCAGGATGGATCCAGCTCCTCTGTGTTTTGGTCGAAGTGTATCATGGTACAGAAGTTCGTTAAAGACGCCTTCTCACTCTTGAAGCCCGGCACGTCTGCCATGATTTTGGTCCGGGCCGTGCTGCCAGCCCCATCACAGGCGACGACCAAATCAAAGCTTTTTGTGAGGACGCCGCTGCCGTCCTTGAGAACCACCGTGCCCGTGTAGGCGTCTTGTACTTCTGCTGTCGTTCCGAACACAAACTTCACCTTTCCTTGCTTCTATACTTCTTCCGCAAACCGAAACCAAGATTCAGTATTGATCCAGCCATTTCGGAATACAGAAAAAAGCAGGAAAAAAGCTTTGGGACCGCAAGGAACCCAGAACCAGATCTTGAAATCAGCCCCATCTGCACCTTCCTCATCTGTGCACTTTGTCAAAGCCCCTTCAAGCCGCTTCTTGAGCTAAGGCTCCGGGATAGTTCTCCCTGCACTCGCGCAGCAGCGCCCGGCAGATGTCACCGCGGGACCCGGTCCAGCCCGGACCGGTCCACGGCTCTTCCTTCCCGAGCGGCAGAATGCGGATCCCGCGGAACCTTCGGCGAGTGCTGGGCCGAGAGAGACCGCGACTTCGTGCGCATCCGGGGTGTTCAACATGGTTCATAGCTTCACGACTTTCGTTCCCAGGTTCCCCCTTCCCCCCTAACTGAAAGTAAAAGCCCGTCCAGGAAGCTTGATCAACTGCTCGTCAAAGCGATGCGTCACTCCCAGGTAGTCCAGTGCACGTGCCCCGTGGCCCGTGATGTCGATGGTGTAGCTCCGGTCGGGATTGTACCGCGCAGCCGTCTCGTGGTCTTCTGCCTTGCGGAAAGCCCAGAAGCCCCCAAACTCCCGCAGCCGGAAAGCCCCGCAAAGCCCCGAAAGCCCGCGAAAGGACGAAGGCCGGCCTGGTCGTAGACCACCACACCCCCCGAAAAGCCACGTCTCGCGATGCCAAGGGCGAGGCCCAAGCCGGCAGGCCCGGCTCCCAGGATGCAAATGCGGCTCGCGCCCGTGCTCTCTTCGCCCGAAGCGGCCATGTCTTCTTCTTCGCCGAAAAATGCTCTCTTACACTCCTATATGTAGACATATACATCAGCATGTACTGAATATACACGTTATAAATGTAGACATGCTGGTGAAGGCCTGCCTTGCGTCGGGGTCTTCCTACCGAAAATTAGCTCTCATGATAAGGCTGCTTCGTCCGAGCAGGGTCCGAACAGGTCCCAGAAAGCAAACCAGGCTCGACCCAGCTCAAGGAAATGCAAGGAACCCTGACGACCTCACGCTAATCGAAAGGATACTGAAGCCGGGCTCCGTAGCTTCCTGAGGCTCCCGGAAAAGAAACCGTTCAAAAGCCGCCAAGAGGCTGCAAAGCCTTTGAAGGGCTGCGGGCCACTTGCAACCGGCTGCTTCCCTTATCGGCCCCTAGAACCGAACCTCCACGTCAACGACCTCTGCACTGGAGCTCTTCTTGGAACCAGTACTGGCGCAGCGGGAGGAAGAACATGCTTCTAAGAACATTGGCTGAGTGAGCTTACTTCTCACGGTGCCCTTGTCATGACGTTAAGTTTGTGGCTGAAGGGCAATCCTAGACCGTCTCCACTAGCCTTTGGAATGACCTGCCACTCTCAGTCTCAGCCGAAGCCGAGGCGTGAAGACTTCTCAGATCCAGAGAAGTCCCGAAACAAACGCGTTCCCCGCGCCTCGAAGCTTTCGGTGAAGCCTTCGGTGGGGGCTTCGTCTCTGCGGCCTCTGGGCATCAAGAGAAGAAGAGAAGGGGTGGCAAGAAGCCATGCAGCCCAAATCTAGCACCTGCTTGGCGAAGTCCCGCATCTGCTCGAAGGGCGTCTGAGGAGCCTGTCCGCTCTTCATATACCTGGCACTGCGCTGAGCAGCTTCGAAACCGGGTCTTGGCGGCGAAAGATCAACTAGCTGCTACATACGACCCCTTCTGATGGCTGCGGTGCAACTCCGAGTCTTCCGCAGGCGATTGCCCACCTTGTCTTAAATACGGGCCCGGTCCAAGCAAAATCGAGGCAGTGGAAAATCGGCGACGATCCCGGTAAGAATCCTAGTGATCATAGCCTAGCTGTGCAATAAAGCTCATCATCATTGTCAGATCCCTCCTTAAGCTCCGCCGGGCGTGACCGCACGAATTGCCCATCCTTCACCTCGAGCTCCTGACAGAAACCCCCCAAGGTTCGGGATCCCTACTCCTACACTGAAAGACCAAGGCCGGCATAGGGCTTCTAGAGATTCCTGGGTTTTGGGGCAGGATTCGCCAGTTTACGGAGAATCTCGGGCCCCGTGACAAGGGGAGATCGGAGTTCTCGCAGTCGCCCGGCCGGGCCCCTGACCAGGCCGCACATGCCGCAGTTGAAGGGCTCTGTGTTGCTACCTGCAGGAGCTCACCACAGGATGACCGACAGACCGAAGCAAGAAATGAGAAGAAACAAGGCTGGCTGTTGGTCCGAGTCAACCGCTGACTCCCTCAAGGTGTTTAGTTCTGTGGTGTTGCTCAGGAACTGCATCCCAAGGGCCCTCACCAAAACATGTCCAGCTAGATGCCGGCTCCGTCACTCAAGATATTAAAACCACTGAAAGCCATCGCGTGAAGGATACCTGACCGATCGGAATGACAAACAGGAACACCCATCGCCATGCTAGACCCGAGATCCGGAGAGCCCTAGCCACAAACTGCAAACAATCTAGGCCCTCCCCAGCAGCCACAAGAAAAGCCAGAAGCCTTAGACACTAAACCTTACGCTAGAACCCGGAAATCTATACCCTGAGCATTAAGCCCTGAACCCGTGCTCCAGCCGCCAAAGTCCCCTCAACCCTCCCGTCGTTTCGGCCTCTCTGCAAGACTCCGCAGCCTCGTCGATGCAGCACTCTGAATATAAGTTCTTTCGTTGAACTCCGTTTTGCGTCTATCTGTTTCGGGTGCAGGGTTTGAGGGCTTCCGCTTTTCTGGACGGCTTTGCAGGTTCGCATCCTGGAGCTTGGAGCCTAAGGGGTTTAGGGTACTTGCAAGGATATGGTCTTGGCGGCATTACCCCCCTTAACTGACCCACGCAGATTAGACAGACCATCAGCTCAAGTTTTGCAAAGTTGTTCAGCCTGATCCTAAACTGGCAGCACTATTTGTATTGATGTTAGTGTGCGTTCAAGCTAGCCTAGATCGTCAACAGTTTAAGCAGGAAATGGCTTGAAACCTGAGCCGGGGCGAACACGACCCTAGCGTGGAAGCCTTGAGCAACGGAGTTGACACCATGCCCGCACCGAAAGTTCAAAGCCAGCAAGCAATGGAAAACTCACTAGGATCCGGTCCGTGTCCACAAGAGAACTCTAGAGGACTTTGGCTGGCCTGGACACTGCCCTTCCGTGGTCGTTGCCTCGAAGTACCACTGAAGGCCTTGGTCTTTGGGGTTTGGGGCATCCAAAATGGGCTTTGGGCTAAGGGCCTTAGGGCCCCTTTTAAAGGTCCTCTTGCAAAGAAAGGGAAAGCCCGTGGATCGGGCCGAAGATGGCAGCGATGGCCAGCAGAAAGATACCAAACTGCCCAAAGCCAAAGCATGATGGCGGGGAGCGTGGGCAGCATACCGAAACTACTCGATTTGCCGTTTTGAAGGTGCTCCTAGATAGTAGTCCCTGACATTCAAAGGTCTTCAGGTTCCACGATATTGGAATCTGCGCTGGGCGCTGGGATCTCATCTGAGGCAAACAGGTGCGCAGGCTGTGAGCGCCGAAATCGCCTTGAACATGTAGAACAAGTTGATCAAGCTGATGATCGGGCTCAGGATGATCTGCGCAGAACGGTGCAAGGGATGGCGAGACACAGCCTCAAATCCACGACCCTGACGCAAACTACAACCTGTTGACCCTGCTTAAACCTTAAATCTTGGGCCTGGCTTAGACCCCAAACTCCACGTGACCCCTCGACCCCAAACGCGACGCAAACCATGTACCCTGAACCCAGGGTCAACCAAAAAGCACTAAAATCATACTAAAATCCTAAACTCTAAGCCCGAGTTTGACCCTAACCTGCAATTGACGTCTCACCCAAACGTCCTTAACCCTAGACCCAACTGAGCCATGCACCCTAAACTCATTGAACCCTCTACATCACGGGATATGCCTTCCGCTCCGTGCTTACACCCCAAATCCTGAGCCCGACTGAAACCCCACATATCAAACAAACCCTAAACCCTAAACTCCACTGACACCATGTACCCCAAACCTTCGTTGCACCACAAGCCAGCCCAAGGTAAACCACTGAAACCCCAACTTTCTATGCCTGAAGTACAGCTTGAAAAAGCACAAAGAAGTTCTTAAACTCAATGAAACCTGAACCCTGAAACTTGCCAAGACAAACCTTCCGACCCTGCTTCAACCCTAAATCCTCGGCCCGATTTACAGCCAAACACCACACAAACCTGAGACCTCAACTCCACTGACACCCTGTACCCTAAACCCCCGTTGCACCACAAGTCAACTTAATCCCTAAATCCCAAGCCCGAAATACACCGTAAACACGACAAATAAGCTCGTAGCCCCAATATAAAACCTGAACCCTAAAGCCCACCGAAAGCACGCACCCTAAACCTTCGCTTCATCAGCAAGGCAACCCTTCCGACAATCAAACTCTAAATCCTCAGCCGGACTTACACTGAAAGCCCACGTAAACCCTAAACCCTAAATTCGCTGCACCACAGGTGGCGACCACGAACCATCAAAGCTCCACTGCCTAAGCCCCGAACCCCAACCAAGTTCCGCTTCGACTCAAACCCCTAACATCACCCAAACCCTAAACGCTAAACTCCACTGACACCAGGTACCCTAAACCCTCGTTGCACCAAAGCCAGCCCAAGGTAAACACCAAATCCTACTTGAACTTTAAACCCTAAGTACACCCTATAACCGAAAAACTAATCCTTAACCACAATTAAACCTGAACCCTACAACCCACTGAAACCATGCACCCTAAACACTCGTCCACCAGGAGACAACCCTTTCGACCCTGCTTAAACCCTAAATCCTCAGCACGACTTAGACGACTAAACTCTGTCGCACAACATACCGACCCAAGGTAGATCCCGAAACTCTACTTGACCCGTAAACCTGAGACCACTCTCGCCCAACTTACCCCGAAACCTCACCCACAAACAAGTTCCCTGAGTCCTACCCCCCAAGCAGACCATGACCCTAGGCCCACCTTCACGTCGTAACCCCACGTAAACCCTAAGCTCCATTGGCACCATGTACCTTGAAACCTCGTTGCACCACAAACCATCCCAAGGCAAACCCCAAACGACCATGTACCCTAAACGCTCGTTGCACCACCAGTCAGCCCAAGGTAAACCCCAAAATCCTTAAACCCCTAAGCCGTTAACCACCCTGAACTCAAATTACACCCTAAACCCAAAGCGAATAATTTCCTAATTCCTGGCCCAAAGCAGATCACAGCCCTAAGCCCACCGAAACCATGCACCCTAAACCCTCTACTGCAACACGATCTAACACTTGAACTAAAGTCCTGAGCCCAAACCCCAGAACACCAAGCAACCCTAAACCCTAAAATCCACTGGCACCATGTACCCTAAAACCGCTGCCACAAAGCATTCAAGGTAAACCCTTAGCCTCAACGCTAAGCTCGAATTAAGCCTTCAACCCCAATCAACCCTCCCTGAACCCTTTACACAAAGCATCCCTTTGTACCCTGCTTAAATCAAACCCGAAATCTTCAGCCCGATTGAGACCCCAAATACCACACACTGACACCATGTACACGAAACCCTCGTTGCACCACAAGAGCCCAAGGTAAACCCCAAATCCCACTTAAACCCTAAATTGTTAAGCCCGAAGTGCAACTTAAAAAAGCACAAAGAAATTCCTAAACCCAATGCCAAGTAAGCTTGAACCCGAAAACCCACTGAAACAAAGCACCCGTAACCCTAGTTCCACCAGGAGACAGCTCTTTCGACCCTGCTTAAACCCTAAATCCTCAGCACGACTTAGACGACTAAACTCTGTCGCACAACATACCGACCCAAGGTAGATCCCGAAACTCTACTTGACCCGTAAACCTGAGACCACTCTCGCCCAACTTACCCCGAAACCTCACCCACAAACAAGTTCCCTGAGTCCTACCCCCCAAGCAGACCATGACCCTAGGCCCACCTTCACGTCGTAACCCCACGTAAACCCTAAGCTCCATTGGCACCATGTACCTTGAAACCTCGTTGCACCACAAACCATCCCAAGGCAAACCCCAAACGACCATGTACCCTAAACGCTCGTTGCACCACCAGGCAGCCCAAGGTAAACCCCAAAATCCTTAAAACCCCTAAGCCGTTAACCACCCTGAACTCAAATTACACCCTAAACCCAAAGCGAGTAATTTCCTAATTCCTGGCCCAAAGTAGATCACAGCCCTAAGCCCACCGAAACCATGCACCCTAAACCCTCTACTGCAACACGCTGTAACACTTGAAATAAAGTCCTGAGCCCAAACCCCAGAACACCAAGCAACCCTAAACCCTAAAATCCACTGGCACCATGTACCCTAAAACCGCTGCCACAAAGCATCCAAGGTAAACCCTTAGCCTCAACGCTAAGCTCGAATTAAGCCTTAAACCGCAATCAACCCTCCCTGAACCCTTTACACAAAGCATCCCTTTGTACCCTGCTTAAATCAAACCCGAAATCTTCAGCCCGATTGAGACCCCAAATACCACACACTGACACCATGTACACGAAACCCTCGTTGCACCACAAGAGCCCAAGGTAAACCCCAAATCCCACTTAAACCCTAAATTGTTAAGCCCAAAGTGCAATTTAAAAAAGCACAAAGAAATTCCTAAACCCAATGCCAAGTAAACTTGAACCCGAAAACCCACTGAAACAAAGCACCCGTAACCCTAGTTCCACCAGGAGACAGCTCTTTCGACCCTGCTTAAACCCTAAATCCTCAGCACGACTTAGACGACTAAACTCTGTCGCACAACATACCGACCCAAGGTAGATCCCGAAACTCCACTTGACCCGTAAACCTGAGACCACTCTCACCCAACTTACCCCGAAACCTCACCCACAAACAAGTTCCCTGAGTCCTAACCCCCCAAGCAGACCATGACCCTAGGCCCACTTTCACTTCGTAGCCCCACGTAAACCCTAAGCTCCATTGGCACCATGTACCTTGAAACCTCGTTGCACCACAATCCCAAGGCAAACCCCAAACGACCATGTACCCTAAACGCTCGTTGCACCACCAGTCAGCCCAAGGTAAACCCCAAATCCTTAAACCCCTAAGCCGTTAACCACCCTGAACTCAAATTACACCCTAAACCCAAAGCGAATAATTTCCTAATTCCTAGCCCCAAAGTAGACCACAACCCTAAGCCCACCGAAACCATGCACCCTAAACCCTCTACTGCAACACGATGTAACACTTAAAATAAAGTCCTGAGCCCAAACCCCAGACACCAAGCAACCCTAAACCCTAAAATCCACTGGCACCATGTACCCTAAAACCGCTGCCAGAAAGCATCCAAGGTAAACCCTTAGCCTCAACGCTAAGCTCGAATTAAGCCTTAAACCCCAATCAACCCTCCCTGAACCCTTTACACAAAGCATCCCTTTGTACCCTGCTTAAATCAAACCCGAAATCTTCAGCCCGATTGAGACCCCAAATACCACACACTGACACCATGTACACGAAACCCTCGTTGCACCACAAGAGCCCAAGGTAAACCCCAAATCCCACTTAAACCCTAAATTGTTAAGCCCGAAGTGCAACTGAAAAAAGCACAAAGAAATTCCTAAACCCAATGCCAAGTAAACTTGAACCCGAAAACCCACTGAAACAAAGCACCCGTAACCCTAGTTCCACCAGGAGACAGCTCTTTCGACCCTGCTTAAACCCTAAATCCTCAGCACGACTTAGACGACTAAACTCTGTCGCACAACATACCGACCCAAGGTAGATCCCGAAACTCCACTTGACCCGTAAACCTGAGACCACTCTCGCCCAACTTACCCCGAAACCTCACCCACAAACAAGTTCCCTGAGTCCTACCCCCCAAGCAGACCATGACCCTAGGCCCACTTTCACTTCGTAGCCCCACGTAAACCCTAAGCTCCATTGGCACCATGTACCTTGAAACCTCGTTGCACCACAATCTAAAGGCAAACCCCAAACGACCATGTACCCTAAACGCTCGTTGCACCACCAGTCAGCCCAAGGTAAACCCCAAATCCTTAAAACCCCTAAGCCGTTAACCACCCTGAACTCAAATTACACCCTAAACCCAAAGCGAGTAATTTCCTAATTCCTGGCCCCAAAGTAGACCACAACCCTAAGCCCACCGAAACCATGCACCCTAAACCCTCTACTGCAACACGAGGTAACACTTAAAATAAAATCCTGAGCCCAAACCCCAGAACACCAAGCAACCCTAAACCCTAAAATCCACTGGCATCATGTACCCTAAAACCGCTGCCAGAAAGCATCCAAGGTAAACCTTTAGCCTCAACGCTAAGCTCGAATTAAGCCTTCAACCCCAATCAACCCTCCCTGAACCCTTTACACAAAGCATCCCTTTGTACCCTGCTTAAATCAAACCCGAAATCTTCAGCCCGATTGAGACCCCAAATACCACACACTGACACCATGTACCCTAAACCCTCGTTGCACCACGAGAGCCCAAGGTAAACCCCAAATCCCACTTAAACCCTAAATTGTTAAGCCCGAAGTGCAACTGAAAAAAGCACAAAGAAATTCCTAAACCCAATGCCAAGTAAACTTGAACCCGAAAACCCACTGAAACAAAGCACCCGTACCCAACCTATCCCGAAACCTCACCCACAAACAAGTTCCCTGAGTCCTACCCCCCAGGCAGACCATGACCCTAGGCCTACTTTCACGTCGTAACCCCACGTAAACCCTAAGCTCCATTGGCACCATGTACCTTGAAACCTCGTTGCACCACAAACCATCCCAAGGCAAACCCCAAACGACCATGTGCCCTAAACGCTCGTTGCACCACCAGTAAACCCCTAAGCCGTTAACCACCCTGAACTCAAATTACACCCTAAACCCAAAGCGAATAATTTCCTAATTCCTGGCCCAAAGTAGATCACAGCCCTAAGCCCACCGAAACCATGCACCCTAAACCCTCAACTGCAACACGATGTAACACTTAAAATAAAATCCTGAACCCAAACCCCAGAACACCAAGCAACCCTAAACCCTAAAATCCACTGGCACCATGTACCCTAAAACCGCTGCCACAAAGCATCCAAGGCAAACCCTTAGCCTCAACGCCAAGCTCGAATTAAGCCTTAAACCCCAATCAACCCTCCCTGAACCCTTTACAGCACAAAGCATCCCTTTGTACCCTGCTTAAATCAAACCCGAAATCTTCAGCCCGATTGAGACCCCAAATACCACACCCCACTTAAACCCTAAATTTCTGAGCCCCAAGGACAAAGAAATTCCTAAACTCAACGCCAAGTAAACTTGAACCCGAAAACCCACTGAAACAAAGCACCCGTAACCCTAGTGCCACCAGGAGACAGCTCCTTCGACCCTGCTTAAACCCTAAATCCTCAGCACGACTTAGACGACTAAACTCTGTCGCACAACAAACCGACCCAAGGTAGATCCCAAAACTCCACTTGAACCGTAAACTCGAGACCACTCTCACCCAAATTACCCTGAAACCTCACCCACAAACAAGTTCCCTGATTCTTAGCCCCCAAGTAGACCATGACCCTAGGCCCACTGTCACTTCGTAACCCCATGTAAACCCTAAACTCCGTTAGCACCATGTACCTTGAAACCTCGTTGCTCCACAAGCCATCCAACGCAAATCCCAAACCCCACTTCAACCCTTGGCCGGAACCAAAAGCCCGAACTAAACCGTTAATCGCCATTAGCCTCTCACCCAAGCGGGCCCGAATTCGAGACCCGCCCGCAGCCTTGCACACTAAGCTCCTTGAACCATCTACACCACAAAGCTTTTTTTTCTTAAACCCGAAATCTTCAACCCGACCGTGACCCAAAACATCACACACATCCTGAACCCTAAACTCCACTGACACCATGTACACAAGTCCGCCCAACAGAAACCCCAAATCCTACTTAAACCCTAAATCCAACGCCCTAAGCACTCTTTAAACACGGCAAATACGGTCTTAACCCCAATAAAACCTGAACCCTAAAGCCCACTGAAAGCACGCAACCTAAAACCTCGTTTCATCAGCAAGGTAACCCTTTCGACCCTGCTTCCTCAGCTGGACGTACACTAAAGCCCACGTAAACCCAAACCCTAAATTTCGCTGCACCACGCGTGACGAATGGATCTTGGTGATTTGAACCCTACTAAACGTTTCACCATCCTCAACCCAAGCTGTAAACACTTCCTAGCCCAAAGTAGACCATAACACTGCACTACAACACGTCTGGAGCCAGACTTAGACTCGAACCATCGCATAACGGTAAACCCATAAAACTCAACTGCCAGACTCAAGCTACTTAAATCCTCAACCCTAAGCCCGAACCTAAACCCGAAACTACAATTATCACCCCACCCGACTGGACCTTGACCCTTCCCCACCCAACTAACGCCATGCACCCCACACTCTTTGAACCCTTTACACCACAAAGCATCCCGACGGAGACCTCAAGCACCACACATACCGTAAACCCAACACTCCACTGACACCATTTACCATGAACCCTCGTTGCATGGTAAACCCAAATCCTCCTTAAATCCTGAATCCTAAGCCCGAGGTACACCGTAAAAGCACACAAAGAAGTTCTTAACCCTAAAACTAGAACCCATTGAAACCAAGCACCCTTAATTCTCGTTCCACCAGCAAGCAACCCTTTCGACCCTGCTTAAACCCTAAATCCTCAGCCCGACCTAGACTATTAAACTCCGTTGCACAACAAACCGACCCAACCTAGACCCCGAAACTCCACTTGACCGGTAACCCTCGCTACAACACGATGTAGCAACAAAACTACATCCTGAGCCTAAACCCTAAGCACCACGAACACTATGTACCCTAAAACCTCGCTGCAGCACAAACCATCCCAAGATAAACCCCAAACCGCACTTAAACACTTGGCCTTAGCCTTAAGTAAGCCGGAACTAAGCCCTAAACCACCATCGAACTCTCATCCAACACGCCGCTGCAACTCCTGGCACCCTTTACGCGACAAATCATCCTTTCCGACCCATATATCCCGCGCCCGAAGAGAGACCCCAAACACCAAGACGGCAACCCTGTGTTCGCTGCTGAAATCCGAAATTTGCCCTAGATCCTCGGCCCGACTTATCCTCAACCCCACGTGACGTAAACCCTAGACCCTAAATTCCGTTGCACCACGCATGACAAACGGACCCTAGTACTTAAACCCCAAAACGTTAACCACCCTGAACTCAAACTACACCCTAAACCCAAAGCGAATAAGTTCCCATTTCCTAGCCCCAAAGTAGACCGCAACCCTAAGCCCACCGAAACCATGCACCCTAAACCCTCGACCGCAACACGAGCTAGCACTCAAAATATACCACTGAGCCCAAACCCCAGAACACCACGTAACCCTAAACCCTAAAATCCACTGGCACCATGTACCCTAAAACCGTTGCCGCAAAGCATTCAATGTAAATCCTCAGCCTCAACGCTGAACTCGAATTAAACCTGAAACCCCAATCAACCCTCCCTGAACCCCTTTACAGCACAAAGCATCCCGCTGTACCCTGCTTAAATCAAGCCGGAAATCTTCAGCCTGATTGAGACCCCAAATACCACACACTGACACCATGTAGCCTACACCCTCGTTGCACCACGAGAGCCCAAGGGTAAACCCCAAATCCCACTTAAACCCTAAATTTCTAAGCCCGAAGTGCAACTTAAAAAAGCACAAAGAAACTCTTAAACCCAATGCCAAGTAAACTTGAACCCGAAAACCCACTGAAACAAAGCACCCGTAACCCTAGTTCCACCAGGAAACAGCTCTTTCGACCCTGCTTAAACCCTAAATCCTCAGCACGACTTAGACGACTAAACTCTGTCGCACAACATACCGACCAAGGTAGATCCCGAAACTCCACTTGACCCGTAAACCTGAGACCACTCTCACCCAACTTACCCCGAAACCTCACCCACAAACAAGTTCCCGGAGTCCTACCCCCCAGGCAGACCATGACCCTAGGCCCACTTTCACGTCGTAACCCCACGTAAACCCTAAGCTCCATTGGCACCATGTACCTTGAAACCTCGTTGCACCACAAACCATCCCAAGGCAAAACCCCAAACCCCACTGCCAGAATCCGAGACCCACCCGCAGCCTTGCACCCTAAGCTCCTTGAACCATCTACACCACAAAGCATTTTTCCGACCCTTGAACCCGAAATCTTCAACCCGACCGTGACCCAAAACATCACATAAATCCTGAACCCTAAACTCCACTGACACCATGTACACAAGTCAGCCCGACATAAACCCCAAATCCTACTTAAACCCTAAATCGAACGCCCTAAGCACTCCGTAAACACGACAAATAAGGTCTTAAACCCAATAAAACCTGAACCCTAAAGCCCACTGAAAGCACGCACCCTAGACCCTCGTTTAATCAGCAAGGTAACCCTTTCGACCCTGCTTCCTCAGCTGGACGTACACTAAAGCCCACGTAAACCCAAACCCTAAATTTCGCTGCACCACGCGTGACGAATGGACCTTGGTAGTTTGAACCCTAAACGTTTCACCATCCTCAACCCAAACTGTAAACACTTCCGAGCCCACCACAAGAGCCCAAGGTAAACCCCAAATCCCACTTAAACCCTAAATTTCCAAGCCCGAAGTGCAACTTAACTCCAAACCCGCTTAGATCCTTAGCCTTGACCCTAAACCCGAACACCTAACCGGGACTCAACCCTAAACCGAACTGAAGCCATGCACCCTAAACTCCCGGAACCTTTAACTCCACAAAGCATCCCTTTCGAAGCTGCATAAACCTAAATCCTCTGCCCTACTCAGACCCCAAATATCACGTGAAGCCGTAACACCCTAAATCGCCATTGACCTCCCCCCCATTCCCACTCAAACCCACCCGAAACACCTATACCTGTATGAGTCCAACACCTGCTCAGTGCACTTTTTGAAACTTTCAAGCATCCAGCTGAAACCACAGCGATGTGCACAAATTCCATGTACTGCATCCGACACCTCAAAGCGCTCTACCGTCTCTTTGACCCACGGAACCCCAAAGGAATCGACAACTATAGCACTTCGGCAGTAGAACGCGTAAACAAGGAGTCAGCTGCGATACGAAGGCTTCGAGCATTCAAAGGGCACGGGCTGCACCCAATCAGAACAGCCCGAGCATGGAAGACACGAACACAAGACTGGAGGTCGGCTTACTGTGCGCCGACAGCAGCGCCCCTGTGCTCCTAAAGTCAAACCCATGTTGGCGGTCCGACCCCGAAGCATCCAACAGGCTTTGGGACACAGGTGCGCAGCTGCGAAACGGGCTCCAGCCGGCTGCATTTCTTGGAACTCAGATCCTCAGTGGAGTCAAGGGCTGGGATTCTGGTTGCTTCAAGGGAAAGGCCCCGAGACCTCGACAGCTTTCATGACAAAACCGTTGACCTTTACCGTTTCTCGTTTCGGCTGATTGGGAGTTTGGAGCTTGGTGTCGGGCCGAGCTTGGCAAGAGTCAGGACAGGACTGCGCGATAATGCCGAATCCGCACAACATGCAAGCTGTCAGCCACACCCAGATCTCTGAAGGCAGCTCGTTGGTTCATGATGGTGATGATGATACTGATGATAATAGGAACAATGGGGATGGTACATGGCGATGATGATGCTGATGATGATGCTGATAGGATTGATGATGATGATGATGATGACTGTGCAACCTTGCAGCGAGATCTCCGTGGAATCCACTGCGAGAGACATCTTCTTGCTGGTTGCCTGCACAGCACGACGCACCCACAAAGGCCGTCGCTGAGCCCCAAAAATCCCCAACCATGCATACACTCATATGCTCATAGATGCATACCTCATACGTACCCCTTCTCTTCGGAGCCTCGGCATCGGGATAGATGCAAATTCCCAGCAGACTGGAGAGGTGGACGCCTTCGACGAACTTTGAAAAGTGCAAGTTTTCGAATGCAACCATGCTTCGTGACGAGAACGTATACTAAAGTGGACTTAGAGCAACATCAAGGAGGAGTACAGTATTGAGCACGTGTAGCACCATTGCTAGAATCATAATCAGAACAATCCTGCTCATAACCTGAAGCGAAACCCAGAGTTACGTAGAACAACTCAGCTCTTTTCGGCTGGGTGGCACTTGGAGCCCTCAGGACAGCCGCCGAGGATGCAGGCCAGGGCGCCTCAGCTCATCCAGGGCTCATCACTGCAAACCCTATACCTTCGGCCGCACGGCAAGAAGCGATTCGGAGCCTGCACCGGCCTCTGGGGAGTAGAAACTGGGGCGAAGTGAATCTTAGAAGACTTTTTGGTCTTTCTGTGCCGCTGAGGCACAGTACTTGCTTCCTGAGCTGCTGTCCTTCGCAGGGCTCGGGCAGCAAGGCTTGGGAGCGACGTTCGTGGAAGCTGCTCAGGATTCCTTCCCCGAAACCAACAACGAAGCAACTCCGCCCCAAGGCCACGACCTGGAGGATGCACATGGGCTTGGCCGTGGTTCCCTCGGGCGTGTCGCTGGGGCAGGAGCCTGGGCGCCACGGATTCGGACGAGCGACCGGCAACCAAGGTGGGGCGGTCAGTGGTGCTGCTGCCAGACCATCGGCAAGGCACCGGAGTCACAGTGCGGAGCGCAGACACTGCCGCCAGCACCCTCTACCTGAAGCTTCCGCCAAGCGAGTTTTTTGTTCGCCCTTGAAACCCTGATGCGGTGCTGCTGCTAAGGCCTCTTAGCTCCCAGTTGTGACACTCTACGGCACCTTGGACTTGGACCCACCATTACCACGACCCGCGCCACCTGGCCTCAGCTTGGGCCTCGTCACTCTGGCAGGGCGGCTTCTCGTAGTGCGACTTGCCTTGGCTTTCCAGGTCTTGGGGCACCCTTAAGCCTTAGGGCATTGGGGTGTACGAAAGCAGCTGGATCATAACAGTAATCACAAGAGTTCTGGCGATGCTGGAAGGGGTGAAGCGAAGAGCGCAATGCGAAGGCTCCGGACCGCAACAAGGACCCACCGAGAGCAGCTACAGTGCAGCCCCCAAAGCCGCAGGGCCGATCTCCGAAGGAGACATAGTTTCTGATGTGTGCCGCCAGGAGGCTTGGGGTCGGTGGCGCGGGCGAAGGTGGCGATGGGGAAGGCCTGAGACCGGTTTTGAGACTCGATCGGATTCTTGAGGTTTGGAGTGCTGTGACTATCACCGAGACTATTTTGGGGAGGTTGACAGATGTTTGCTTGCGGGGCCACACTAGCTAATCAAGCTACCACATCGCGCTCTGACGCCTACACAACCCCGTGCCATCAATGTAGTTGCTTGAATAATTAGCACAGCGTGTTGGGCTTTTCTCATCATTACTTCATTATAGTGACTACTGCGGCATATTGTACAGTATGTTCATAAAGTAGGGAGACGACTAGCTGTTCCGGTCCCCATACTTGAGCACTCAAAACCCCACAAAACCCCTAACACCATGAAGGAGATGAGCTTCACCACGAGTTTTCTCCTGCAAAAACCTTTCCCATGCTTTAAACCCTCAACCCCAAAGGCCCTAAAGCCACCGTGTCTTCTTCTTTAACTTCTGTGCGCTCCGAGACTCGAAGGCCCGGGCTTTCCAGAGACCACCGGGTAGGAGGCTTGAGACTTGATCCCGCACCTGAAGCGAAGAAGCTTAGGGCCTAGGCCTAAGGCTCTTTAGGGTTCTTCTTGGGGGGACTTCGAGGGGTTTAGGGTTTGGTGCCTTCGCTTGCGGGCGTTGTTGTTGATGTCGCCCTGCAGCGGTGCAAGGAATGCAACGTGATATATCGAGTGCTCGGTGCTTACCACAGGCTCTCCAAAGGCGTCCAGCACACGAACCTATGCCTTGTGTGGCTTTTTTGTGTGTCCGACAAGCGAATGTATCCTTCTAGCATCGGAATGACTCTTTCCCGTCATTCGCACATGGTTCAAGTCGTTTCTATGCCGCCGGACCCCAACAGAAGAGATGCTACGGCCCAAAACGGAACTGTCTGCCAAAATCTCTTTCGGCGACATGGTGTGCCTGCAGGTTTGACAAGGATTCTATGAAGGGTCCGTTGAAGTGCTTCTGGTTGAGCCCTGCCTTTGCGCCTGCAATCCCACAATCTCCCCGAATGTACAGTACAATACACCCTGGTCAAAAAATCAACGCAGGCAGGCAGCGCCAACCGCAAGCAAAAGGCCCTGCAAGCTTCGATTAATAGCCTCCTGAGGATCTTGGGCAAAGATAGACTGCGTATTGCGTATTGCTAGATCCCACCCCGGAACTACTACTTGCCGGAACTGGGACTTGGGACCCCTTGGTTGCCGCCAGGGCGCTCCCCGGGGCCCGGCTTGCCGCGCTCGAGCTTCACAAACCCCTCCATGCCCCAGGTCGAGCCCCAGGAGTTCTTCACCTGAGACTCGCACTCCATGAATTCAGACTTTTGGGAGCTCCAGGCTTCAAGGTTTGAAGCCCAGGGTGTCAGGTAAAAGCTCGCAGAAAAGCGACAAGGAACAACACTTGTAAGCTCGAGCCCGAAGGGAAAAAGGTACATCCACAGATGGTGACCTTCACCTTCTGTTTGAAGTCTCAACAGGGGGTGTGCAACAGCTGTATCTTCATAGCTGCTGCAGCTCTGCACAGCTCCAAGTCAGAAGTGCAATCTGGGTCCTGGCCTTCGGATTATGCGAAACTATTGGTGCATGCAGGAGAACGAATGGATCTGCGGCATCCTGCACCTGCGGGGAGATTCTCATCCCGCAGGTTGCCGGATTGCAAACAAGGGCACGCCCGGTGCCACATTGAGCTTCCGACTTGCATCATGCAAACAATTACATCGATGTCCCGGCCACCTTTACACACATGCAGCAGCGATTCGCAGGGAGATTGGCTCAGCCTGCTTGAACCACATGCTGCATTGTGCCGGGATCCACACGTCCTCCAAACGGGACAGAAAAATACAACTGCAGGCAGCAGTCGCTACCATAACTGCGCTGCCGCGCTACAGAAGGATGACCTGAAGCACTTGAACTTCCGTCTCGGTGCAGTTCACGCGGCCAGATTGATCCTTGTGCTCATAGGTGCTGCAGTTTGCACAGCTCAAAGGAGCGAAAAACTGAGGCCTGCATCCTTAATCGTTTCCCCTTATGACTGAAGCATCCTAATGATGTTAAGCCGTCCCGTTGTGTCAACGGCTTAGACGGTGCAAGCCTGGCTTTCGCAGCTGTCCGATTGGACGGCCGGCATTGCCGTCGACTCACCCCTGTTTCTTCACGGCGCCACCCGAGGGCTCGCCCCAATGCACAGCGGGTCTCGGTGCGCCAGGACAGCTTCGAACGAGCATCGCATGAGGTTCCGGCAGCGCCACAAAGGCATTCTGAGCATCAGCCGGTCCTCGGGGCCTCCTTGGGGCCCCAATCATGAGCATCAGCGGCACGGGATTGGAGCCACAGCAAAACAACCCCACAACCACAACAACCAGAACTACCACAACCACACCACCAGCACCACCACCACAATGACCACAACCACAGCGACAGCGACACCGGCATCGATACGAACCAACAGCACCAGCAGCAGCAGGAGTAGCAAGCACTGCTCGCACCAGTTTTCATCGGATTTGCAAAGCGGAGACCCCATGATTTCGGACGTGACAGCACGCTAGAAAATGTGTGAGCTCCTACAGCTTTCTCAAGGCAGCTGCCGCAGCAACGTAGGACTGCAGGAGAACTGACGAGAAAGTAGCACTGCAGGATCTGCAGACTGCATGAAGCCCCCCGACCCCAAACCGAAACCTCCAAATACTGAATTTTCTGGTCCAATCCCATTTTAATGTTGGAGGGCGGAGTGCTTTGATCAGTGGGGACACGATTAATGAGGCATGCATCTACGGCATTCTGTGGCTGCGGCGGGAGATTCTCATCCCGCAACATGCCGGATTGCAAACAAAGGCACGCCCGGTGCCACATTGAGCTTGCGACTTGCATCACGCAAACGTTTCCACACATGCAGCAGCGATTCGCAGGGAGATTGGCTCATCCTGCTTGAATCACATCCTGCATTTGCCTGCGGATCCACACGTCCTCCAAACGGCACCGACCATGTACAACTGCAGCAGTCACTCCCGCAACTGCGCTGCCGAGCTACAGAAGGATGCCCTGCAGCACTTGAACTTCTGTGTCGGTCCAGTTCATGCGGCCAGATTGATCCTTAGGTGGATGTCATGCCCTTTCCTAGACTCTAGACGATCCGAGCGATGGTCCATGGTCCTCTTGGCTACCGACTCATCCTAAGCTGAGCAAGAGGACCAAGCCCTACCCGAAGCTCCAAGACCCCGAAGCTGAAAGTGAACCAACTTAGCGGTAAGGCTCAGCATCATTAAGGTTTAAGGACTCCTAAGTGAAGCAAATTCTGGACAGCACGTCGAGGGTTCCGGCATGTCTGCTCCAGTCTAGGTTCCGGTACTCTGCGTCGGCGCCGGTTCCGACGTCCATCGTGCAGGTGGCAGAAATCGCATAGGGCTCCGTTTTTGCAAACCCTCAAAGGAGGTTTGTGATAACCTGAGCATGGCATCAGACGCCGAGGGCAAGCAGCTTCCTGTGAAATACATAAAAAGAAAAGCTATCCTCTTGCAGCCAGCAGACTGCAAACCAAGCACAAGGCATTTGTGCCATCGCCAACATGAAGGGCGCTGCCGAGGGAGAGCTGAGGTCTGGACTCTTCCCCCGTCGCCGAGGCCTTGGGTCTCATCTGCATGTAGTCGCTGAGTCGGATGCAAGCTGCTGGGCCAGAGGCGTTCACGAGCGAGCTGATCCCGACTCGCCCGAGCTGTCTGGCACCAAGCCTTCCAGGTAAGCTGTTCTGCGCGCCGAGCACGAAGTGCACGCCCTCGGACTCGTCCGAACTGCTGGAAAGTGAAGCTAGCTCTGGCTGAGCGGAAAACCGGGGCCATGGAACATCCTCCGGTGCAGGAATCTCGATCTCGTCACGGAAAGGAACCACGGAGCGAGAATCCATGCCAAAGGCTGCGAGACCGTCTTAGTCGCGGTTAGAGAGGAGACGTGGTAGCTTTTCCAAACATTTCGCAGACAGGTGCAGTAAGTACTAAGAGGACTCAAAACCGCCGCAAAGCTGAAGAAGCCTACGGGACTAAGAGTATGCCTCGCTGTGAACCATCTCGGCCACGCAGCGATTGGTGCAACCATGACACGATGTAGCTGCCATCTAGCGGTATAAACGCTGCCTGAACACGATGTTCCACTCTTCTGAGAGGCGACTGACCTGAGCCTCACACGAGCCAATAGTCCTTGCCATCCTCGGTGCCGTAGCCTCAGTTTACATGGAACCTCCCGCTGAGCGGCACTTCGCCTTCAGCGAATCCAAACGCCAGACCAGGGGCCCACCACCAAGACGCCATGGTCAAGCTTCGTGCCGCAGGTCTTGGTGAGGACCCCGCTCCTGGTCAGGCAGCCAGGCATGCAGGCAGGTGCTTCAATCTGCGATCTGTCGCAGCTTGCAGAGCAAGGCTCTTGTACATCTGGAAAGCCATCCTCGGCTGAGTCTTAAGCGGCTGCAGCGGGCGTCAAGGAGCATGCGAGCATGCGTACAGCGTGCAGAATTCGGAGTCATGTTCTCTTCTTTCCAAAGACGGTCGGCCAGATCTTCGAATCTACGGATCCAGTCACAGGGCTGCCGAGTCTGCACCGACGTCCCGACCGAATGCCCCGGAAAACTCGTCAGACCCGAACAAGAAACCAAGCACCAGTATTTCTGTGGGAAGACCCACCGTAAGCACATCACGAGATCGACTACCACAAGTTTCAGTTCGACAGAGCGAGCAATCTCAACAAGGACAAGGCGCTGGTCGGCCTCGATGGCAACCGAGACCGGCTGCTTGGAGACGGCGTCCATGAGGGCCTGAGCGGCAGGAGCTGTCAAAGCAGCACAGACCAGAAGCAAGCTTTCTAAATCTTGCGGGATCATCTCGTTTGCTCGAAAGCTCCCCCAACTTCGTTTTTTGACATCCTTGAGCCCTGATCTCAAAGCTTGAGTAAGAGTCTCTCCAAAAAACCCGAGCACCTGCTCGTCATCGACCTTGACATCCTGCGAAGGAATCCAGAGATGCGCAGAGAAGGAAAGCACTGCTTGGGGTCTGACTTGTATTTCCTCTGGAGGTTATTGTCTAGGACATACTGCTGCATAAGTGGGCCACCTCATGTAGCCCAGCCGCCGGATGCATGACCCAAAACAAGAGAGCGATAGCAAAAATATGACGTTACAGCTTTGCTTTAAAGGAGTATACCCACACAACCGGGCTGTAGCTTGTATATCGAGCTTTGTCTCCTTCTACAGAAACCTTCGATTCCAACAGCTTGGAGTTTGGAGGTTAACGTTCTGCCATGCCCACAACCCTAAACCCCAAAAAAGTGTACGGCTTTCCGGGCCTTGCTTCACTTTCACGGCCTCGGCCCTCACCCGTGCGCATACCCTAAGCCTTCCGCCGCAAAACTTCGCAAACTCCTCCAAACCCTATGCCCTAAACCCAGAACAGCACCAGCCTAGATGCCGAGACCCAAGGCCCTCTAGTCCTGAAGAAAAACCTCAACAAAACACTAGCTGCTAGTGTATTCTGATGCTCAGTCTGACTAGCGTACATGAGTGTAATGATTATTGCTATCGTTTGTATTGTTTGTATTGTCAACCGTATTCTTATTCGTATTGTTGCTCGCTTTACCGATCTTACCATTAATATTATTAGTCTTATGATGATGACTACCATTCTTTTGTTGTCGTTACTACTACTATTCCACTCCCACTACTCCCACTCCCCCCCGTCACTGCGTACTACGACTACTGCTGCTACTACTACTGCTGCTACTGCTACTGCTACTGCTACTGCTAGTACTCCAAGCATCTCGGCTGTCCAGGTGCCGAAGGGGCACACGTGCCGAATAGTCATGACCCCGCCGTGATCACGGCAAACACACGAATTTCCGGCGCTAGGGGTTCATGGCTTACGCTGCTTCACTGTTTACATTTATCACATGTCTGCTTGGCTTGACAAAGGGAGCGCTAAGCAAGCTGAAGAACGAGGCGAACTGTGGCGACCAAATTTTCACAAGATGCCTGCTGACCCCTCACGTGAGTACGCTCGACTTCTGTTTGGAATGCCGGCTCATCGAGGACACTTCTTACGGGCAATTGAGGGAGCTATGCTGGCAGGCACCAACGGCTATGTCCCCAACATGGGATTCTTCAACGCGTGGTCCATCAAGTGGAATGACAACCAGCATCCACTCTGTGCCCTGCAAGCTGCTCGGGCCTCACAATTCCCACCGGACGAAGAAAATCTTCGTAACTGGTGTAGCCTGCACTACCCCGACCTTCTTCCTGAACTCGACCTGGGTACAACTACGACCTCCAGCAGTCACCAACCACGGCTGGACCTGGAAACCATGGACTAAGCCAGGCGACACTGACTCTCAACCTCATGCCTCAAATACCCAACCTCGCTGTCCAGGGAAGACCAGTCGACAATGGAGACTCAGAATGTCTTCACTTCGACGCCGGCGCAGGTACCGGCGACCCCGCAGAGCCTGCTTATTAATGCGACAGTCACGGCTGCTCAGGCGCTTGTGGTCAACCTGCAAATCCTTCTGGATCAAGTGCCCTGTGCATGTTACGAACAGTCTCTTTGCAGGATGGCACTCGTTGATGCAACAGCTCATGCATGTAAAGACCATTGCGAGTGTGCCTCACATGTGTGCACTTCTGATCCGAATGGCTCACAGCGGGCAGCTCTACTGCTACAGGTGCAGCATGGCGGACCACGGGTCTGATAGCGAGGCCATTGACCTGGAGGAGGCAGCTCGGGATGCTCGAGGACACCCAGCGTTGCTGGGACCTTCGCCGGCGACCCCAGGGGGCACACCCCTGCCGCGTGGACCGCCGCCCCCACGGCCAGTTCAAGAGCAGCAGCAAATGGCCCATCACCTATCAGGACACATCGCTCAGGCATTCGCTGAAAGCGGGGTGCCAATCACCCAAGTGCTTACGATGATGCCCGATGCGTGGTGGCTGCTACGGAACATTCGAGTCCAGATCGACGAGCTTCCAGCGAGCTACTCAGAGCACCCCAATATTCTACATACGGGGGACCTCACTGACATCGAAGGTCAGGAGGAAGAGCGGGCCAACGAGGACACCGACCATGACCATCCCGACCGCGACCCGGGTGACGACACGGAGGCCAGAACAACCAGGGAGATCAGAACGGCCATGAACGCGGAAGGTCGGACTCTCATGACCTCTACGGAAACCGAACGGCTGACAGCATTGATGACAGGGCTGCCAGAGGACGAGACTTCGAGCGAGGAGGACCTCTCCAGGGCCAGATCTTCTTCGGATTGGGTGTCGACGGATGCACTTCGTGCTGCTCCCAGGGGCCCATGGAACATGGAGGCCACGGCAAAACCAAAGCCCAAGCAGACCAGGAAGTGCGGGGCTCAATCGGTATCTCGAAAACTTCAGCAAATGTTCGCTTTACTATCTCTCGTTAACACCCCCTGTCGTAATACGTCAGGCGACCTCGCGAGGATAGACCTGAGTAGAGGTAGGACAGTGCAAAGGGCACAAGCTGCTAGCTGCAGTTTGGATTCGCGTCTCTTGCAGTGCACCATGCAAGCGAATCTGTCTTTCGTTGCACAACCTGGACGCCAGCTGCAGCAGAGCAAAAAGACGATACGCTTTGCCGAGTACATGTTTGCACATATGCTATCACTGCTCGGGTATGCACTGGAGCGTCACATATGGAGATTTCCTACCTCCTGGCCGGCCAGGTACTCTATCAGTTCGATGACCAAGAACGGGGCCGGTGACTCATATCTATATCAGCTGCTGCATACCTTGAGTTTCTGCATTATATTCTTCATTGTCGTCCTGGGCAGGATGACACAGCTCATGTGGAACTACTCAAGGACACGCTCTCCAACAACAAGACAGGCTGGCATGTTCATAACCTTGATGAACTCCATTTACAATGACAAGCAGTTTTCATCCGAAGGCACGAAGTACCGCTACAACCACCACGACAGCTGGACTGGTCCCAAGTCCAGTCGTGCTTGCAGGAGCTCATGTTTTCTGATTTATGCCTTACTTCTTTTCTTTCTCTTAGCTCCAACAGCTGCAGCTGCAAGTACAGATGCGAGGGTTGACGTTCATCCCACAAGGACGTCTGAAGCCGTTACGGCGAAGCACGTGGGACTAAGGGAGGCCACGAACCCGGTCTTGCAATCAGGTATTTCCAGATGTGTAAAACGCAGCTACAAGCGCGCATACGCAAGGTCCTGCCGCGAAGGCGGCGCTTTTTATCGAGGCACATGGAGACATCATCAGTGGTTCCAGCCAACACCCCTGCGCACACAACCTCTGCCCAGGATGCAACCCAGGCAACCCAAAGGACGCTTCCTCAGGATGATCACTTGGAACGCAGGAGGCCTACATGCATCCATCTTCCGCGAACTCACCACTTACCTTGCGGATGAGGGCATTGAAGTTTGTGTTGTACAGGAGACACATTGGAACTACGATGCCAACTGGAGCACCCCGGACTTTCACTTTGTGCATTCCTCAGGACATGAAAAGGAAGACAAACATGGAGGCGTCTTAACCATCATATCGACCAAGGTGGCGACCAACTTGGAACTGCAGTACCACGTGCTCTGGCCGGGTCGACTACTACATGTGCGAGTGAACAAACCTCAGCCAGTTGACATCCTGAATGTATACCAATACACAGCCAACGACAATCCACTTACTCCTGCGCGCAGGCACAAATATCTTCTACGACTTCGACACGCCCTCAGTGGTATCCCTAACCGCCACACTCTGATCTTGGCCGGGGATTTCAACACTACGTGCGTCACTACCCCCAAGGTCTGTGGCAAGTGGGTACTTGCTGCCAGCGAAGCCCACAACAAGGACAACAACGACTTTATGTCCATCCTTACCTCATACCATCTCACAGCTTTGAATACCTGACCACACCACCAGTTGGCCACCTTCACGTTCGGCACGCTTGCTTCTCAGATCGATTACATCATATGCAGACAGGCTGACACAAACAATCAAGCCAAACAGGCAGCTGTCGTACAACATTTTCCTGTGGCAAGCTGGCGAGAAGGAGCAAACCATCATCCTGTGCAGGCACAACTCCGCATACCACACCACACTCGAACGTCTCCACCAATCTCCAAACCACCCAGGATTGACATCAACGGCATTATCGAGGACCTCAAGGCGAAAGAGCCCTCACAGGCCCTGCTCACTCTCAGAGACTGCATTAGCCAAGGACTTCGTGAAGAGACCTGGGACACCCTTCCACAACTGGAGGTTGGTTTGATCAAGGCTGCCCAGGAGCTCTATCCCAAGCACGCTCCCCACGACCCGAATCAAGAGGCGGACTTGAAACTATCACATTGTGCCCGTCGCATGTGGGCACTTTTTCGCGAGATGCGGACACATCCCTTCAACATGCACGGCGTCTTCCACTCCTGGAAGCAATGGGCTCAGTTCACCAAAGCACACAAAGAACATAAACTTCGTGCCAAAGAGCGTAGCAAAGCATGGAGACGTGATCTTATTCTGAAGGCACAACAAGCAGCTGAAAACCACAACATGTTCCAGATCTGGGAGGTGGTCAAGAGTTTAGCACCGAAATCCAAGCGCAAGAAATTACAACTCTACAGGAACGGACACATGATGACTCCCGAAGCTGAGCTCGACTGGATCATCGAGGAGTTTGGCGACCGGTATGGGGCACGCGCCCCACCCACGCTACCACACATACGGCAACATGAGCCAGTTCTGATAGAACCTGCGGAGGTGTGGTACCAACTGGAACATCTACCGGTGCGCAAGGCAGTCCCGAATCACCTGGCTCCTTCTGTGCTTTGGAAAGCTTGTGCCTCCGAAGTCTCGACTTTCATATCTCAACAGGTCTGTCATCAATGGAGCTCCCCAGTTCTACAGGTACAACAAGAATGGGCCGACGCCACAGTTGCTCTCCTACCGAAACCTACGAGTAAAAACGACACACCCCTCAGTTGGAGGCCAATTGGGTTGCAGCATCCGGTTGGAAAGGGCATCATGAAGATCATCATAGCACAGGCAAAGGACCAAATACATGCAATGGTCCGACAGTGGCCGCAGTGCGCATACGTGCCCAACAGGAGCACTACCACGGCGCTCAAAAGGGTCTTCAAGCACTGTGCCAAGGTACGTCAAGCATGCAATCAAAGTCGTCTGAGTTTACATCAGCTCAAGGATGGCGAACACCCCATCCGGAACTATGGAGGACTCCAAATTTGCATGGATCTATCTGCAGCTTTCGATCTTGTATCATGGGCATCTATCAAGGAAGCCATGGAAATGGCACAGATTAACCCCAGCATCCAGGAGCTTCTACTGCAGTGGCTCTGTCAGGTTCGCTACACATTCCAGCACAAGGGAATGGAGAAAGACATCTGGCCCTCATGGGGATTGAGGCAGGGATGTATCGCGAGTCCTGTCCTGTGGGCTGCTTTTACCGCTCTGCTGAGCCAAGCAATTGACAAACGCCTAGAGGACACGTGGAGTTCTGACCACTCTACGATGTACGCGGACGACACGCACCTTCAATGGACTTTTCACAGTCTTCAAGGCTTCGAACAAGCCATTCATGAGCTCAATAGAGTGATAGCTGTCTTCAGGAGACTGGGAATGAAGGTGAACATCAACAAGACCAAGGCTATCCTCCGAGTTACGGGACACATGAAGCACCACATCCGGAAACATTACATTCGATCTCACGGTAAAGAACGTAGACTGCTTCTTTCCCCAGGTGACCCTTCAGGATGGATCCAACTGGTGGACCAGGTGGAATACCTAGGTCTGATCATCTCTTATGACAACTTTGAGCTACAATCTGTCAAGCACAGAATCAATAAGGCTCATAACCGTCGATGGTCCCTGGCCTCGATTCTCCACACCAAGAAGGTCTCGATTTCCTACAAGCTCAACCTCTGGCGCAGTTGCGTGCTTTCCACTATGTTGTACGCCCTCCACAGCCTGTGTCTTGGTGCAGGACAGATCTGCTTGCTACAACGAGCCCTCATGCGACATATCAGGGCTATCGTCTCGGACCAGGCTTTTCTCACAGGACATACACACGAGGACATCATGATAAAGTATCACATTCAAACTGCGCAGGAACTTCTTGAACGAGCACATGAGCGCGAACAGCTCAATGCGGACTCGAGTGATTGGATAGTGGATTCAGACTGGAACCGGTCTATCTCCAAGGCTCTGCTCGAGGCGGCACAAACCAAGGAGCCCGAATCCGACACCGAGAAGGCCATTTGGGCCTGTCCGCTATGTTCTGAACAATTTATCACACAGGCAGCCCTCAAAATCCATGCCAGACGAGCGCACAAAATTGTGGCCCAGCGGAAGAACATCTTCAACCGCCTCGTGCACTCAGTTGGTGGGCTACCTCAGTGTGCTAGTTGTCTCAAGCGCTTCAGCAAATGGCAGTCGCTCGAAACCCACATCAATACTGATGCTTGCACGGTCCAAACTGCATGGACCCAGGACCCCACTGCGGATCCATCCAATCCGCATGAAACCGCAGCTTCACCAACCTTGCAGCCAGCTCCTGAGCAAATATCCACGCCGAGAAAGCCGACAAGTACCCCAACCGAGGTCACTGCAGCACCAGCAGGGGTCCAGTGCTCTGAGACCATGATTGCGGAATCGGTCGAGGGCTTGCAACTGCAAGCCGTTCAGCCCGAGAACATTCCCGAGCTGCAGTGCGAGTTGGGTTCAAACCATACTAACGAAGTTGCAGCCGTGCCTTCTTGCAGTACCTCCTCACAGCCTACTTTACATCCTGAGAAGCAGACTGCTCTTGCTCTACCTACACCTGCACCAGTGCTTTTTCAAGAACGTGTTCATCTTGTTGTGCAGCGCGGACTGAATGCTTTCATTGCCGAATCAAGCCTCACAGCCTCCATGCAACAGTCCTGTGCTTTATGTGGGCAGTGGATAGCCTCGCAAAAGGTTGTCAAGACACACTACCAGCATACACATAAATTCCTCTATCAACAACTTGCACACAAAGCAATCAAGCTCATCGAGCAGAAAGCCACTCCGTGTGTACAGTGCCACTTCTGCCACCGCAAGACCAAAGACTGGAAGGCCCATTTGTTCAAATGCACCACACTCTGGCAATGTGCCTTTCTATGCGTGTTGCACGAGGAATATGGCCTACGGGGACCCGGACTGGGACGAGTTCTTTGGCGAACTCCACGGGGAGGACTTGCCGATGACGAATGCTGCTCCATGGACCCAACCGACAACGGACAATCCCTTCACGTTCACGGGCAACAAAAGACGGCGGAACCCTTTTGGAGAGCAACAACCGGTACCGCACAACATGCGACGGCACCCGTTTCAAGGACCACCACCACGGACTCCAGTCAGAGACCCATTGCTCTATTCTTTAGCAAAAACGGTCTTACAACAGCAGGAGGAGCTCAAGGTCCTCAAACAAGACACGGCCCTGGTGCTCTTTCTTCGCCCAGGGGAGGACAACGTGCTACACCACCTCTACAAAGTGGCGGCGCACTTCAAAGCCAAGCAAGAGCAGGACGCCACATGGCAACTGGGACAGAATCCTCTTCGCATGGTCTTGGCCATAGCACTCTTCAAGGAAGTCACGGACCGCCTGAATCAGACCATTGCTTCGCAGGAAAAGCTGAAGAGAGCGGTGGATCAAGGATGGCGAGATCCACAAGCGGGCTGGAGATACCAAGTTTGGAACCACAAAACCAAACAACTCCAGGTCGATGCCAGCCGCCCACCGATTCCGGAAGACAAACTTCTCGACCACTTCGCCACCATTCTTCAATGCCTTCGGCAGCCCATCGTCAACCGCTTTCGATGCACGAGAAGATTAACAGAAACAATGTCCAGCCCAGCAACCTTCAAACTAGACATGTCAGTTCGAAGCCACAGTGCTCTGACGATGTGGGACACTCTGAAGATGTTGCAAGGGAATGCGGTTTTCCAACTTGCTGGAATGGCCTACAAGACGGAAAGCCTGGCCAGAGGGCCAGTGGAGCAGAAGATCGCGGAGATGGTATATGGCAGGAGGTAGCTGCTGCCCAGCGGTTTGCGACCCAGATTATCCTGCGTAACAACAGCTCTATATGCTACATGAATTCCTCCTTTCAGGTCCTGGCATGGCTTATGGAGCAACTTCGACTACCGCAAACACTCCTTTGTGGTACAGGTGCATCTTTGTTCCAAGATGTATTCGCGAGATGTCTCCCTATACCCCACAGGTTGACAGATGATCCTCGGTGGCTAACGCTGATCGATGATTGGGGTGAGGTCCATCGTCAACATGATGTGTGTGAATTCCTTGAACACATACTGCAAAAGAATGACTATGGCTTGTTCCAAGGCACATGGCAGGCAAGATTGCCTACCATGGCAGGGGAGACGCAGCTTGTGGATACAGGGCAGTGCACTCAATCCATTGTTCTTCACATGCCTTCAACCTACCCTACGCCATCGGCCAATTCACTTAGGATTCAATCCTTGGTGGACGCTTGGTGCAGGGGAATTGACAGGATACATGGTCTGACAGTCGCGCCCCCGGTGATCCTACTTCAGCTTCATCGCTTCACCAAACAGCGTGATCGTGTACTCAAAAATCACCTTAAGGTGCAGCTGGACCACGTGATCCAAATGCCTTTCTTTTCTGGGGACAGGCACAATCTGTCGCATCGTTCATACAAGCTCAAAGCATTCATTGAACACCATGGAGCCACACCCACTTCAGGACATTATACGGCCACCCTGGTCAACGATGAGGGCTCATGGAGCTGTGACGATGGCAGAGCAGCCAAAGTGAAAACCATGCGGGGTGAGCGACATCCCACTCGATGCTGCTCTTGCCACATCTTCTGATGAAGGTTTGGCACACACTGGCGACACACATGCTAGCACATAATGTTCCGCGGAACGGTGTGTGTTGATACCTGTACTTTCTGAGATGATCAATCGTATCATGAGCTTATAGCTCCGGGCATTTGAATATGCCTGCTCTTTCCCGACGCTTGGCGACAGGACTCTCCTCGCTGCGAGTGAAGCTGAAGCTGCTAGTACTCCTACTACAAGGATGATGATAGCTAGTCCCCTTCCCCCTCGAACCACTACTACTACGACGACTTCTGCTGCTGCGACTACTATACACTGATAGCTACCCGCCATCCTTGTATCCGGTGACGCCGTGGGCCGGAATGCCAACGGTGCAGCCGGAAGCCTGCTCCGTGTGAAAGGAAGCGAACGAAAGCGCGCAGGGCCGCGTTAGGGTCTTAGGGTGAGTTTAGAGATTAGGGTCTTAGAGTTAGGTTCGTAAGACCTAGGGTGCTAAGGTCCTATATGTCAACTGCTTGTGGCTTCATGGGCTTTACGGCGTTGGGTTAAGCGTCTTTTTGTGAAGGGTCTGTGAACGACCCAGCAAGACCTTCCAAAGACCGGGATCTGCATTGCTCGATGACAATCACCTGTACAACCCACCACCGTTGCACAACTCGCGAGGCACAGCTTCAAGGCGCGCCCGGGAATGTGTGCGGCCCATGCAAGCCAGCTCAGCCAACACTCTTATAGGAACTCCCGCCTTGCAGATGCCGTTCTTGGCAAGGTAGGGGTAACTGTCCTGCAAGATCTCGGGGTGTTTAGAAGGATCCCCTCCCGGTCCCCGGCCGGAGCAACTTGCCAGAGCCCTCTGTCGGCTCCTCGGTGCAGACGGGGGCCTGCTCCTGAACACGACAGGCCGGTCTTCTCTCTCTGACGGTGCACGTTCGACATCCCAAACTTCCCTCCCGAAACCCCTCCCTGGCGCCAAACACCAGACCAAGGAATGGCTTCCGAGGCTCTCTCACTTTCGTGCATTCAGGGATCTCCGGGCACAGATGTCGAGACGGCACGGAATTCACCGCTCTGAAGTCTGAACGGCTTCTTGCCAAACGTGGACGTTCCGCGGTGTCCTCGTATTTGAACGCGTTGTCCATCAGCCCACCGCTGCAACCTCTCGAAAGGCAAGGCGGATCCCTAAGGGTGCTAAACCGAGCCGTAAGGCGGGAGGGTCGACGGGTCTCTGGGGCCCTGAAACCCCAAATCCTGGGAAGCCACCAAAAGAAACGGGGAGGCGAACTGGGAGCCCAAGGGCCTTGATTGCCATACTTCTTGGAGCAGTCCACCAGCTGCTGCTCGGAGAGGGACACAAGCCTTGGCCGAGGAGCCTTGCTGGGGTTCGGGGTCTGGGTTAGTTCCTGCTTCGGGTCCATTTTGAGTTTAGGGCCAAGCATTCTCAAAATCGGTGGCTTGAGGCACTGCCTGTCTCAGGTCTCCCTTGCGTTCCAGGAGGCTTGCCCGTGGCAATCGCCCAGGCGCCCTCCAAAGCTCCAGTGGTCGAGAAAGCCCAGCCTTGTGGCACAGCCGCACAGCTCTTTGAAACGTTGGGCAAGTGTGCACAAAGGGTCGTACGAAAATCAGACGACTAAGAGCGGCAGTACGATGGCGACAACGCTCATATATGAAGACATCGTGATACTCAAGAGAGCAAGAACCGGGCGTCCGCAAGGAAAGGGAAAGCGCCGGGCTGGAGATCCTCTAGCGGAAGTCCAGATCGCCACAAGAGCAGCTAAGGAAGACGGTTGCTTCGTTGTGCACCGGCGCTCGTGAGCAACTTCAAGGTACGGAAGATACCGAATAGTTCTTGATGTAAAAGCTAGTTAATTCCTCTTGTTGGAACTGTGTCTTGTGGGTAGGATGCTCGAAACCACTGGCGCTTCAAAGGAAGGGATGAGATCAGAACATAGGAGGGTGAGCTTGCACGGCTGTCCTGCGAGCCTGGACCAATCTGGCAACGTCAGTCCAACTTCGCAGCAGTTGGCCGTTCACGACAGTTTTCTTACACACCCTCTGAGCATCAGCTAAAGAGCATGAACCGCACTGCTTCTGGTTCTTGACCGGCGTCACTGCCTGAAGACCGCTCTCCAAGCCACAGGCACCCACAAAACGGAACACATCGGCAGTAGCAGGGCTCGTGCTGTGGAAAGCTCTGCCTCTAAGCACCCCCCAAGCCCAAGCCCAGCCTTTCCACGCCAGTCCACGGACGTCGGGGCCGTGGCATTGCCCACCTCCGAAGTCTCACAGATGGCGTCGCTGGAGGGGCTCAGGAGAGGCCCAGGGACCCCTTCCCGTCTTTGATCCGGCCTGGTGAGTGCCCAGGCTTGGGAGGCTCCCCCAGAGGCTGGGTGGGGCAAGGCCCAGCTTGCTCATCCTGAACCTCGCAGTCCACACACACCTCTGCACACGTACTACTTGCTCACTCACTCACTCAGTCACTCACTTACTTCTGGGAACCTCCTAATGCCCTCACACAGGTGCTCATACACCCAAATCATCTATCACACGACTTCTTTAAGTCCAAGTATTCGAAGCCGAACGCTCAGCCAAACCCGACCTGAACGCAAGCAGAGACGATCCGAAAAGATGCACTGTCAAAGCCAAGGGCCATGCCTCAAAACCCTGTGTGCATCAAAACCTGCTGCAATGAATGAAATGGATTTGCCCGGACGCTCGTCCATCGTCATGTCCGAGAACTCGTTGAGGCCGAGCTTGTAGGAGTAGCCCTTTCTCGGAGTGAGTCCGTGGGTGCACGGGCTCAACCTCCCCACATCACCCAGGGGACACCTGGAACCTCGTGGCAAAGCCTTCCGAAGGGGAACCTCAGTTTATTGCCTTGGCGTTCTCCTCAGCGATGTATTCAAAGTTCTTGGCGAAGGCAGCAAAGCGAGCCTGGAACTGGAAAGTGCGAGCACGCCATCTTTGCTCCATGCCGGCATCGTTTACGATTTTTCTGGTCCGGCAACAAGTGACACAAGGCGCTAGGGCCAGGGCCAAACTGACTAGGCAACATTTTTATCTGGGGAGTGAGTTTGAGCTCATGACAGCCCTATGGTTCAAAGGCCGACAGGGCTCAATCCATGAATCATCAATTCGTTTGCAGCGATCTTCTAAAAGAGACCGACAAGATCCAAGCACCATTCACAGAGAGAGAGCGAGAGCGAGCGAGGGACGGAGCCCCAGGCGACTCTCCGTGCCTGCTTCTCGATGTCGTCATAATCCTTCTGGAAGTCCTTCAAGAACCTTTCAGCCAATCCCGACCAAGGGGGGCCGCACGAAAAAGACCGACACACTGCCGTTGGCGAGTCATGGTGCAAGCAAGCCTAGGGCAGGTTGGGTCGAGTCCATTGCTTTTTGCGGGTGCGAGGCCACGAAACCGCAAGTCACCGAAACATGAAGCCTTAAACCATAGAAGCATGAAGCCCATTGCTTTCATCAACCCACCCGCCGCGCGGCTCGTCAAAGGCCTTCTGAATGTCATCGCGGGGCTGTTGGGCCTCTGCACTCGTGCACATGCAACAAATGAGCATCGCTTGCGATCGCAGCCGACTCTACAAAGCCCTGCAAACCCAAAGATCTCCGCCGCCTCCACGAAGCCAAGCAGGGCCAAAGCGGTACCCAACACCTGGTGGAAAGTTGAGCTCATTGAAACGAGAGCTTCTCGTAGGACACCCAACATCGAGACAGGCAGCAAGTTTGCCGAGAGTACTGCTTGACACGCGCTGTTGCCACCAACAGACCCTGAAGCAAGCCCGTTCATGCGGATCCCTGCCTTTGCCATGCTTGTCCTGTCTCCCGAGGCGCGGAAGGAGTTTCGGAGCTCAAAAGGGCTGCGGTTTCACGATACCAAGCACAGCTTTCAGGGCGAAGTCTCGAGTTGAAACCGCCATGCAAAGAGTAAGGAGTCCGCAGCCGAATGCCAGCTGCAGACACCTGTCCCTCTCGCCCACATCCAGCACATCCACCATGCTGCTACGGCTTATTTGGGCAGTATGCACTGGACTGCTACGTTAAGACGATCCCTCACGAGCAAGCCCGTGCAAACTGCGTAGCCACACCCACTTCCGGGGTCTCGGTGAACCCTCCCTTCAGTAGCTTTGGACCCCGACTTCGCCCCGACTTCCAGAATGCCTCATTGCCATTCATGCTGAAGAAACCGAGTCTCCCTGAAACCGAGCATGCATCCGGCACCTGCCAGGGTCCCGGGATGAAGCTGAGCACGATGAGCGCGAAGAAGGCGGTGCCTTGGAGAAGACCAGAATGCAGCAACTCCGGGGTATGGATGTCGGGGGTGGGTTTCTGCTCCACGGAGCGGTGAACGGCTACACAGTGACGCTTCGATCCAAAGCCGGCGACGCACTGATCGGACATCCGACGGACTGCATCTTTGATTCAGAGGGCTGCCGCTTTTGAGGCGCGTGGTGCAGCCTCCTTTTCTCAAAAGCTCTGCCGGGCGGAGTAACGTGGACCCGACGGCTCAAAGACGCAGGGCTCCAAAGATGCAGGACATCTCGGCCCTTCATGCACAGGGGATGAAGTGAAGGCTTGTGGGCACAACCCTCTTCTGACATTAGATGCTGCCGACGGTTCCATGACCCACCCCTGTAGCTTGTGGAGCGGGCCCTCTGCCTCACCCCTCCTGGCAAAGTCGGGCCAGCGAAACTCTCAAATCACGTCCTGCAACTATCACGGCAAGTAGGGCAGGGCATCTTGGAGGAAAAAGTGTGGGACTCAGGCTTCACAAGGTCTGTTGTCTCATGGTCCAGGCTCGCCGGGATCTGGGAACCGTGATTTGAATCGAGGGAAAGCGCTGAACCGGCACTGCCTCCGAAAGGAGGCCGATGAAGACGCTTAGCGTTGGGAAAGCAACTTAAAGGAAGATTCGAGAAGCGGAGGCCGACAAGGCTCGGCACAGAAGTGCAGCGAGCACAAGCCTCCAAGCATCGATTGCCCATGTTCCGGCATCAAGGTTTCACGGCCTACGGCCTACGGCAGTGGCTGGGGATAACCAAATCTCGCCACCGGATGTGGGATCTGCAGAAAACAAATTGGGCGAAACATGAAAACCCCGAAAACCGAGGCTCGAAGCTGCCCCAAGGCTCCTTTCCCGCCTTGGGCGAGGCTCCTTTCAGAGCTCAGTTGAGACGCCGTTTGGACTCATGGCCGAGGCCACCTTCCAAGGGGACAAAAGTTACGTGAAATCAAGGGGTTACCAGTACGGTGACATGCGGGCGGCCTGAGTTACGTCTATATTTTTCCTGGGCTGACGATAAGGGAAGAATGGCAGTCCTTACTCGGCTTCTAAGTCTCGTGTCGTCTCATGCAGCGCAGGGCATACTGACTACCAGCGAAAAATGCGATGCACTGAAACTGTTCCAGGCCTGGGACGGAATGGACTGGAGCTTGAATCGGCAGCCGGCACCTTCAACGACCTGAGACTGTACGGATTTGGCCCGAGTGCATTGAAGAAGACCGGGCGCAGCTAGTCTCGAAGATTAGAGTTTGTGGTGGCTTATCGGAGGTTTGGGTTTGGGCTCAAGGGCCCGTAAGAGCTTTTACGGGTCGGGTTTTGTGCTTGGCATCTCCTGGCAAGGCTTCGGGCTGTTGTCAAGTCTTTCCACCCTTGGGGCCCTCCTTCTCCTAAGAACGCCTTGGGTTGACTCCCTTGCGGGTTTTTGAGAACGAGGCTTTCAACGTTCCATCTTTTTGAGTTGGGCTTAGGGCATCACCTCCTCTCTTTGGGTTTTGGGGTAGCTTTGGTGAGAGCATTTGTGCTTAAGCTTCTGGCTTAAGCCTTCCGGCTAACATCCGCTGCAGTCTGAGTGAGGCACACAAAGCAGAGTTTAGGCTTGAAGGTTTGGGACTTCAGGGTTTTACGATTTAGGGCTCAAGGTGTAAGAGTTCGGGTCGATGCTGCTGGGCGTTATGCTTGAGGGTGTCTTTTTTGCTGTTTTTGGGGGGGAGGGGGGGGGGCTCGAGAGTTTCAGAGCTCCTAGCGTTTCGGACTTCGGGCTCCGGGATGCTAGCGGTTAAGGCTTAGCATTCGCAAGTGATGACTTTTCCTGTTTGTGCCGCCCCGTCCTAACAAGGCCCTAGGCCGCTAGGTTTCTGGCAGGACCGGGATTTGGCCGTTGCCACACTTTTGGAAACCAGCCACGGGCTGTAGGCCAAGCCCAAACCCAACACCAGACAAGACCAGCAAGCCCAGATCCCAACCTTACCCCTTGACCCATGATAAGCCCGCAGAACCCTAAACTCGTGATACCCCAAACCGCCTAACGCCTAAACCCATAACCCATGAAACCTTACACCCTTAGCCCAAACCCTCAACACCCCAAACCCTAAACCCTAAATCCAACGTACTCAAACAGCCCCCCTGCAAAACCTAAAGACCAAAACCCGAACAAAGCTCTATATATCTCTCAAGCCAAAACCAGGAACTCCGTGCCCCCAAACCCAGCCCAAACTCGCAAATCCAAGCCAACCCCCCAACTGCAACCAAAACCATGAACTAATCGAACCCCACCTCCACATCCTTGACCCGTAATCCTAAACCCATGATGTCCCGAACCCTCATATGCCGACGCAAAAAAGAAAGCCCGTGAGCCCTTAAATAACTCTAAACTCTTTACATCCAGGACACCCCAAATCCCTTGACCTGAACCCCAGACCGATGATACCCCCAAGCCTCTATCCCTAAACCCTAACACTGAACCCCTCAACACCCCCAAACCCTGCAGGAAATTCAATCCCAAACCCAAGAGCCCAATATGCCTCAAACCCTAAACCCAATGACACGCCAAACCCTTTGACCCTAAACCCACTGCTCCCTTTAAACCCTAAACTTACTAAATCGTTGTGGTGGTGGCGGTGGCGGTGGCGGTGGCGGTGGCGGTCGGGTGGCGGTGGCGGCTGGCAGTGGTCGTTACGGACTGGAACTTTAGGTGCAAGGGCAGCTCCCGCATGAACAGCAGCATGGCAGCTGCACAACAAAAAGCAATCTGAATGCGAGCACTGCCACCAAAAGTAAAAGCCGCCTGACATCTAAGTCTCAGCCTCCAGAGCGGTAGGCCGGAGGCGGCAGCAGGCGACAACGAGGCGCTTGCCGGCTCTCTACGGCGATCTTCGGCGTGAGGCAGCGATGCTGTTGAGTCTGTTGTGATGGGCGCTGCTTGACATTGCTCGGTGCTGTTGCTGCGTCGGCTCAAGATAGCTACGTCTTCTCGACCCTTGAAAATCTCGCAACATTTGCTGTGTTCACCAGACAGCCCTCGCTGCTGCTCCATCAATACTGTGCTCTTGCTCCGACACCGGGTCTATATGAAAGGATAAAAGGCACAGCTTGACATCTGTAAACACAAACCCTATGGCCCTCTTCTCAGAACAGAGTACGCGAATGGGACCTTGTCACATTTTCTTCTCAGGCTGCGGGAGTTGCTTTGAATCTCAAGATCCTGGGGGCTTCATTGCTTCATCGGGCCTCAACTTTTGACTTCAGTTTGTGATGCGCGGGTTGTGGGACCGCTCGTTACGCAGGCATAACATAAGCACAGGAGCAGCTCCGGGAACTTATGCCAGCACTCTGCCCGCTTGATCTCCACCTTCCCCACCAAGACCCCAAGACGATATCCAACACCCTCACGGCCTCCCGTTCAGCTGATGCAGTATGCTCGTCCTCGTAGCAGTTTCGAAGCCCAGACACCCTCCCTGAACGTCCGTGGCTTCCCTTGAAAGCCGAGACGTCGACCAAGCCACTCCGGCTCTGCCAAGGGGGGCCCCCTGGATGCAAGGACGCGAGGGATTGGACCGTTGCCGTTGGAGAATCTGTAGCACTATGTCGAGGAGTACTATCGGTAGCGACTTCGGGCCTGCAGTAGCCTCTCTTGTTTCCGGGCATCGGACTCAAGACACAACGATATTTATGCATCTTCCCATCTACCTATGTAAGAAAGCATGTATGTATGCATGTACGTATCTACCTGGCTCCATCGGCCGCCCCAAACCAAAACCGCAAGTCATGTCAAGTTTCAAAACCGAAGAAAGCGGAATCTCCAGAGATCCAGCCGCAGCCTCTAGCCTAACTGCTCCTGGGCCGGTTGCCCCCGCCTCCCTGGGCCGCCCGGACCTCCAAACCTGTCGCTGCGCTTTGAGCGTGAGGGGCGCTGGGGGCTGCTCTCTATGACTAGGAGCTAAGGCTGCTAAGGGTCATGAGTACTGTAGCTTCATCTCCCACACCTGCATTCCGATCTCAGAGTCGGCCGTGCACAACTCTACGGCTTCATGGGGGGCGGCAAAGCTGCGGGCCCAAGGCGCCAGAACCCCTTACAATCGATACGGTCAACATGCAACCATATGCAACCACTCTTTCGCCTGTGTTCTCGTGCCCAAACCTCTAAGCAAGCACGACAACCTGGCCCCAACATCCGTGGCCCGGGCGCGGAGCGCGCTGTGGGCGCGTCGACACCTGGCTTTGAACACGCTCTCAAGTGTCAGACCTACTCATACACCGCAACCCGTGACCTTGCCGCTTCTTCAAACTTCCAGGGATCATTCCGAGAGCCCTGAAGCATCCCTTCCGCAAGCAATCTGCCTCGCGGCACTGGAGCCGTGGGGTGGACGCCGGGAGCCACGAAAGCACTGACAAGATGAGAGCTTTGCGAACAGCTGCATTCCCGCTTCAAGCCTTTTTTCCATTTGCGCTGACGGCCAGAGGACCAGAGAACTGCACGAAAGTCTCGCAATACATGAAAAAATGCGTGCCGTTCAGAGTCCTCTTAGAGCTGCCCGATCACAGCTCTGCCGGCAGAGATCGGCAGAGCCCTTGCAAGCCATGCAAACCTTCCACAAGCCAGTAGTACTACGGCCCTAATTCCAAAACCCTAAAGCCTGAAACTCCAAAGCCTCAACTTTTCCTCCAATCCGAAGCTCCTAGACCTGGTCTTGTCTGTGCCTCGAGGCCCAAAAGCCGGCCAGTGCCAAGGCCAGGGATCGCCAAAGACGGACCTTTCATCTTTTCGGGTTTATGGGGGGCTTTGCGCATGGAGGCTTAAGGTGATCTGGATCTGAAACCGCTTCTTTAGATTAACGCCTCAAAGCATATACGTGCCATGCACAAGCAGTGCAAGACCTGACCAGATCGAACGTTCAGATTGTCGTTGCAACTCCTTCATACTCCTTCAGGCTTCGGACTTGACTCCCAAGTAACCCATGATCTTAACCCGCACACACGGCCTTCAACGGGACATTCCTAAACCTCCTAACCCTCATGGGCCTTGGCAGGTGTCTTGTTTCAACTCCACACCCCATGTTTGCCCAACCTTGCTGTGATACACGCACGCAAAAAAACTTCGAATGCCTTTATGTTTTGTTGCCGTCGAAACCGTCCCCACATCCGGGTGCCTGCTGGCGATCTACTCGCATAGCCATGGCTCTGCAGCAAGTGGCACGACAGCAAAACCAAACTCTCTCACCATGTGCACCTGGTCCAAAAAGTACGCGCAGCGATATGAAGATGACAGGTGTTGTCGGGATCCTATATCCTCTGCTCGAACATGCGCTAGAAGACTTGAAACAGCACGGCACGTGGGCAAATTCTTCACGTTGAACTTGTCGTAACACACCTCCCTGAAATTCCCACCAGCTGCTCAAGACTAGTGGCAACAAACCTGGCGGTCGTGACCTATGTTGGTCATGAGCGCATCCTGCCCATACAGGCATTGCCTGGACACCTTGATTGCGTGTAACTGGCAATCGCTTGCCATCACGAGATAATCATTGGCGACAGATGTCATCTTTTTCCCAAGCATTTCGCAGTGTCGCGCGTCGGACCCCACTCCTGGAGAACGCACGGCCGCAGCAAACCTGCCACAGCTGCTGGAAAAGAAAAGCTGCCCTGCAACACCTCAGCAATAACCTTCGGCGGAAAAAAGACGCGGAGCTTGCCTGATTCGCAACACCTCGGAATCATAACAACACGGGTTATAGGCGAGCTAGAGCACACTGGTCTGGTACGAGCCGACTGGGAGACTCTGCCACCAGCAACACATCGGATTGAGCCAAAAACCAAAGCTGTGTTTGCAACCGCCGACAAACACTTTGAACGCGCACTCCCGGCATAGCTTGCGCGGGGTTCGGGGCGACTGCAATCGAAGAAAAAAATGTCGTATGCCAAGTGTTTCCCGCAAGACGTGGTTGCTATATACCCTCTATATGGCATTGGGCCATTTGTAAAAGCCCTTCAAAACCAAGCCTAAAAGCGGCGACAAACCCCAAGACCTGAAAAACCCTGAAACCCGAAAATCACACACCGCCGAATGCTTGAAGTGGCACAAGCCCAGTTCGGCGTCACTAGTTCACAAGTGTGTGCATGTGTGCCGGTTACATGTGTGCATACATAGAGCGATGGCCGCGGCCACGCTTTCAAGCATCGCCTTGTGGAGGGCAGCCGAGGCGGCCGCCACCTGTCACACAGGCCATGTTTGCTGGATGTGTGACGCGAAGGCATCTTCGACTCAAGATAGCCCAAACCTCCGCCCCAGCACATGCGAGACCCCGTAGCCCCACACGACAAAAAGGACACGGCAAAGCCCGGGCCTGGGCATGCGAAAATGTTTGGGCCTGGACGCAGGGGATTGCAGCACGTGTGGGGCCACATTCGCGGAAGCAAAGTTAAGCCCTCAAGCCATCATCTGCAAACCTACATCGCATCCGCCACGCTTCCAGCGACATGCTCTGTTAGCTGCCATTATCGGGTGTGCAGTGGCTTCAGTAACGGATCTGGCACTGCAGACCCAGTCACCTGCCTTGAGCCATTCTTCGGCCTTCTTGGCCGCCCGCCGTCTTTCGGCCTTCTTGGCCGCCTGCCGTCTCTCTTCTTCAGCTGCGTTTTCCGTCTAGGGCTGTCCGGTATGGATGGAATTCAAAAATGGACAGACTTGTGGCATGGCTCATGGGGCTGGTAGTGTTGGCAGGGTGCGTGCACATGAAGAACTCGGGAACCAATAATATTGGGGGGGGGGTCCTATCGCTTTCCAAGGAAATTGGCAAAATCCGACATTCCAGGGTCACCCTACTCTTAACTACAATTACGGAAGTTTTGACGGATGCTCATATGTGAATACATGTACATCAGCTGTTACTGTGTACATTGGAAGGTAGAAATAGCACCCTTCTATGTGAGAATGTTTGTAGATCCCTGTACACCCTAAACTCAGCCCTAATCTCTAACCCCTGTACCCTAAATCCCCAAACCCATCTCTAAACCCTAAAGCCCTACCACTAAAGCCAAAACGCCTACAGCGTAAAAGCCCGCTTGCATCCGCACAACCTTGAAGCGTTAAACCTTACACCCTACCATCAAACCCCAAAACCCTAAAGACCTAAACCGAAAAAGAACTGCCCTTTAGAACCCTTGATTTCTGAATCTGAGGTCGGCCCTCGTAGGTCCTGAGCTCTGAATCTACTTGGGTTCTGGGTATACTATGGTATAGATCTTTGGAGGAGCTCTAACGGCCTATCGAATAGAGTTACCAATTTTGGTGCTTAGGGTTTGGGGGCTTCGGACTTGGACTTTGGGGGCTAATCCGCCGCTTGTCGGACACGCGCACCCAGACAGAAAGCTCAAACTTGGAGTTTGCGGCTTTGGCCTCAGAGTCCACGTTTGGGCCTTGATTTGGGAGTTGGAGATCATTAGCTTACGGGGATGCCGTCCATCCGTCGGAGCTCGAGTCACGAATCGCAAGCAGTAGAGCTCGGCCTCCGGCCGCCAATTCCTGCACAGCTTGGGTGTGCCTGATGAGGGATCTCGTTTCTTGCAGGGGGCTTGAAAGCGGTCGCAACAAAACAACTTCGTCAAACACAACCCCCGCCGACCACATCCAGGATCATATTGAACCGCTGTCATATGCTCATGTGATGGCCATGAAACACGCAGGAAAACCTTGGTTTCTCTAACACCAAGGAACCTCTGCTCTGCTTGCAGCTATGAGTACATAGAAAACGAAAAGCTCGTTGCCTTTGAAGACTGGATCTGTAAGGACAAGTTTCGGGCAGCTGAAGCATCGCATTCATGTGCGCGGAGCATACCCACATGTCTCGACTTTCCTGTGCTCCCCCTTTCTTTCGTCAGTTCGGTGCATTTGCACTTGCAGAGGTCCTGGGTTTAGTCCGCACAAGTTTACGCTCTTGTGCCAAGTCTCTGATTACTGCTTGGTTCTCGGAAACTTTACGTCAGTGAGGTCTCTATGGCATTGCAGAGATGAAGCCCCATCGTCTTCAGGCGACAGCCTTGAGGGCGGGCCCTGGCATTTTCTCCCTGTCTCCACTTTCCAGTCCGACTCTGAACGGGGATCGGCAATCTAATAATCGTACGCAGCCCAAAGTTCTTCCAATCGGTGTTGCCCTCGGCGCGGGCAACATGACCTTCCACCCCGACATCTTCCGCGCTTCCGGGCTCTTCGATTGAGCGCGCAGTCCAAGCCGATAGATCAAACGACAAGTTGTGTGCGTGGATCCTGCCGGGAGGGTGACATGGGCAAGGTAGGCTGCTGGGACCAGCTCGGCGGCTGCAGAACGGCTTACCTCAAGATCGGTACTTCCTTCATCTGCCATGGCCTGCTTTTCCGTAGAGATCGACTACTGTTAGTGTTGCTCAAACGTACAAACCCTGCAAAACGGAGGGAATTTTCTAGGAGGTTAAGGAATTAAAGCAGGTCCCCAACCGTAGGCGTGAAAATAGACTCAACAAAAGCCGTGAAATTCCGAGACGGAGACAGTCATATTTCACAGAGCCGGTCACTGAAAACGTCCGGCATGGATTCGAGGATCCCGCATAAAACCGCGAGGGCGGGAACGATCCGTTCGGGTGTCGTCACACTCGCACTATCGGCTGAGGCTCTGAGCAACAGTAACAGGGAGCCCAAGGCTGGGATGGAAAGCATGTGCTGATCTTTCTTGACCTCAGGGAGGTAGCCAGAAATGCACTCCAGCTGGGTCGCGCACTGCCCCAGGCCAAGAAGTTGCTGAAGCCTCGACAATGCTCGGCTGGGGGAGTGGAAGGGGGTCGGGACAGAGGCTCGAAGCTCCAAGGACTGAGATTTGACAGCAGTCGAATTTCCCTCCATCGCTGAAACTCGGTGATGGGCTACTCCGAGTACGACTTTTGTCGACACCGCAATGCTTTCTCCAGAGAGTCAAGTCAAACTGGGCAGAAAGTGTCTTCGCAGAATCACTCCTCTTCTGCTCTATCGAGTGCTGTCTTGGGACTTGAGTGGAACATCCATATTGGCCAGTTCCATACCAGCCAGCAACTGCATTTGTAGGGAATGTGACCCCATCGAAGTGAAGGATAGCGCTGATGTAGTAGCTCAACAGGCTTGGCGGGCACTTGGACCATCTTCCCCCCAAGTGGCATCGATTGAGTCGGTTCAACCCATCGGGCTTCAAAATCGGAATAAGTCTGCTCAAACCAGTCACTATGGCGACGACGGGACTTGACATATTTTGACTGATCGGGATGCGTATCGTTGTGAACCAAAGTCCAGGAGAAGACATCGACTTGTACTCCTTCGTACTCCATCATTGCAGCATTGGCACGAATTCCGTACCAATCCATCAGCAGTTGGCTTCCTATCCTGCCTTCGTGGAGCAAACGAGCATAGCGCCGGTCGAATGAGACATCGGCATCGTAATCCCAGGGAACAAGGTCTCCATAGTGAATTGCTCCGACCAACGTTCCAAAATCCACCCAGTGGACCACCTCTAGTTCCGTCATCAACTCATCCCATGAATGCACCATGTACAATAATTTGTCCCTCGTCGATGACGATGCTCGACAGGGACTGACGTAGTCCAGCACCACTGCTCCCACGAACAGAGTCAAGATAATCATCATCAGCAGTGTCCTGCATGTAAGGTGTACTGATAGCGGTGTACACCAACTTATGTGAAGTCTCTAGAAAAACTAATCTGGAAGCCCTTCTGTTCTAGGGATCCTCATTCCTCCGAAGGCGTCTCTGTGGGATGGTTTTGAAGACGAAGGTCGGTGCGCTCTATGTTTACACTCTGCTTCTTCATAACTAGGACACGCAAGCTCCCAGCCCTCCTTTTTCTCACTCTTCGAACCAATACTTGTACATATACTTACACCTGTATTACTACAAGTGCTCAGTACTTACTACTAGTACATACGTGTACCAATACGTCTACCAGCGCTTGTTCCGGCAGGTACGCTAGTACGAAAAGTGTAAGAAGTGCAACTATATACTGATTACTGGCCCAGTACTTAACATAATTAGCTGAGTTTAAACGAAGCCGATCGCTACCATCAGCAAGTGTCAATGTTTCTGTTGGGCGTGGGACTCCACTATCATCCACTATCAATCCTGGTGTAACATTATTGCTCCTCCGATGCTGCCCTGTCGGGCTGGTGGAGTGCCGACGCCGCAGCAGCTTTGCTCCAGCCACACTCTGCGCCGCAGACTGCTCCGAAACTGGGGCGGTCGCAATGGAGAGCAGGGACATGAGACGCATCACGGCGCCGACGGTAATTAGAAGGCGAAGGTGGGAGAAGAATGCTTTGAGGCCTCGTGGCTCAGCTGAAGAAAGACAACATATCCAGCACATGCGAGTCGCCAATCAACACACCAACATGAGCTGGCGATGCACAAAACGTCGCATGCAGCTGCAGTAGCTATCACTGTGACCGAGACCTAGAATGACCTAGACCTGAGCCTGATGGCAGGGGATGCTTTGACTGGAGAAGTCGCGGCCGCCTTTTTGATCTCATGTATGAGACTCCGATCTAACGACTCTGGTCTCTGGGCCACATGTTGCTAGTCCTCCTAGAGAAGCAGCGGATACATCAGAACGAGGAGCAGGAGAGGTGCAGCGAGCAAGGACTGGACCGACCCATCCACGCAGTACAGGTTGATCCCGTTCACGAAGAAGCCGTTCTTGCTGGAGACCTCTGGCCCGCAGAAGCTGTCATCCACGAGGTCCAGGCTCGAATCTGCATCCAGGATCTCCCTTTGCACAATGAAAGTACCGCCACCCACGGTGCCGTTCTCGTAGAGAGTAACGAGCTCACTTCCCACGGTAACCCCATCCGATCCCCGATGCGAGTCTTTTTTGACGATGGAGCCATTCGAAACGACAAAGAGCTGAACATCGTCAGAAACGTAGAGTGGAGGTCTTTCACCAGACAAGGTGTACTTGACGATATCACCATGCCAAGTCCCGACGGACTTCTCACAGTACTCATCACGGTACGAGTTTTGACTAAATGAGATTTCGGTGCTGGCCACCGTCCATCCCTCACGTGACCGTACAAGATCTCCCTCTTTCATGTCCCTCACCTGCTTCATCGAGCCATCCGACATGTTCACCTGTGCAAGCGCACGAAAGCACTTGCTATGCATTGATGGCTGCGCTGCTTCGGTGAAGTAGTTCTGCAGCAGAAATACCTGCTCCCAGCATGGACCCGCTTGGCACTCTTGGATGTGTCGGCGAATCACCCGGGCACGACTTGCGGTGTCGGACTTGTGGAGGAGCTTTAGTCCTCGGGAACGTCCAACCCTGGAAAGGACGCCTCGGATGGTCTCAGAAGCGATGCCTTTCTGGAAGAGGCTCGGGATCTGCAACAAGGCATCGGTCTCAAAGCTCACCTTGGCAAAGTGTGCATCCATGAGGCCCTCGGCCTCGAGGCAAAAATCCTTCAGAGCCGGGTCCGGCGTCTCCTTTACGAGATCCCCCGGGCCGAAGGCTCGCTCAGGAAAGTTGAACATCACCAGATTCAGCTCGTGGCACAGCTCCTCATTGTACTGGCTGTTGCAACACATGTCGAAGCCCAGCTGCCAGGCAGACCAATTTGCATCGTAGAACAACGGCGCTTGGTCTGCATCGCTCCGGCTCAGGCAGTGCGTGATCATCTTGTGACACCCGGCATGATGTTCGGAGGTGAAGGGGCTGCTGCTGTGCCGACGCTGCAGCAGCCTTGCCCCCGCCGCACTCTGCGCCGCAGAGCACTGCTCCGAAGCTGACGCCGCCGCCATGGAGAGCAGAGACACGAGACGCATCATGGCGCCAACGGTAAGTAGAAGGCGAAGGTGGGAGAAGAATGCTTTGAGGCTTCGTGGCTCGGCTGCAGGAAACACACGAGGTCGACTTCAAGATATGCTCATGTCTGTGAACAGCACGACTCAGTGCGCGTTCCCAAAGCGGGCCTCCCGACACACTGGTGCCGAGGCCACAGAGACCTGGTACTTGCCACGAGAGGAGCAGGTGAGTTTGCTACCCCCGAGTCACTCGTTTAAACAAACCCGTGCCTTGCCCATGCATGCAAACTCGCCGAGATGCCCCAGCTTCGAGGGATCCGACCCTTCTCAACAAAGGGTTTTTTTCCCTCCTACCTAGCAAGGAAGAAGGGAAGCCCGCATTGCTCAACAAAGGGCTTAGGATTTAAGGTTAGCCCTTTTGGATGTGCTCAAGGTCGATGCACAGGTGCGAAGATGTGGCAACAACGTGGAGGCGTGTGTCCCAGGGGCAGTTTCTCATGGCCAAGTCAAGGCATTTGGGGATTGGGCACCATGATCCTGACCCTCATGAATATCACCATTACCGAGCAAAACGAACTCAAACCCCCAGGAATGAAAAAACCAAGACCTTAGAATGCTTTGATGCCATCAAAGCCCTAAGCAAATCTGGATCTGGGGCCTGCTGGCGACTTGCTCGGTAGCCATGGCTCCGAAGCAAAGGGCACGCCAGCAAAATCGAGTAGCTCGGCTTTCCACGAGAAGTTCAAAGCAATGGGAAGCTGGTCTCAAGTCTCAAACCATATGTGTGCAGCAATGTGAACAACACTAGTTGTTGGAATCAGGAACTTTCAGTCTCCTCCGAAACAGAGCGGCACCTGCGGAAATTAACATCTTGAGCGCCTCGGCTCACCAAGCTTTCCGACTTGCCGAAGTATCGAGGACAATTGCACTTGCTCGGCGTAAGTGCCACTCTAACCACACCTCCTACAAGACAAGTTTGTTAATAACGAAGCAGAGCCTTGTTGCTGCTGATCAGACAGCATGACCGAAGCCTGGAGTGACCGGACACCCATCTCAAGCAGCCCGAACAAACATGCTGGAGGTGCTTATCGTTGCTTTGTGATTTGTAAGCCCTGTTGACTATGAGTGTACCGTGCCCATGACAGCCTTTCCAAGCTCTTTTCATTAAGTTCCCTGAAATGAGTACTTGCAGGAATTGGCTTGATCACCAGTTGCATCTAGACTCGTCAGCAGGAGCACGCGCAAAACGTTACAGTGTACGACGCAGATACTCTCATGTGCATTGCAGGAATCATCAAGCGCTCCTCCTATCCAGTCATTTTTAATCCGTCTTCTCCTGCTTTGATGGGCCGTGAATGTTCGGAGGCCTCATCCGAGAGACCAGCTTTGCACAGAGAGCAGTGCAGACACGTGCCGCGGAGGCAATTGCCGCGAGAATCAGGAGCGCCGCCAGGCTGAGCTGAGGAAGGAAGCCCAGCTGTAGCCTCTGGAAGCCCACAGCATGAGATGCGAGGAACCGGGAGTACCGGTAGCAGACAGACAAGTACCTTGACATGCAGCGACGGTTTGCGGATTCCGCGCCTTGTCTCGGGTCCAGATCCGTGAACACTGCACAGCAGCTCCTGGCAGTGCTGCCGCCCGCAACTGCACCTCCCAAACCCCAAAGTACCCCCCCCACCCTGACCCATTGTCATAGCCAGGACTCCAGCATCTGCTCCAGGACCGCCCCTTCCTCGACTCGAATCCACCTGGAACGAAACACGCCTCCGTTCCCAAAGGGGGGGCTCTAGCTTCTTTCTGGGCCGTGGGGCGGGATGAGAGCAGCGTTGGCCGCGAGGCGCGATGTCTCGTGAGCGGACACGTTGCTCTGGAGCAGCGTGGATCGCATGGTCCCGTCGCAGGGCTCCCCGAGCGAGCGCTCGCAGGAAGGCAGCTCCACGGCCCAGACATCCCAACTGACAGGCAAACACAGCACAAGCACTCGCACAAGCACTCGATCTCGTCATCTCGTTTCTTTGCAGTTTTTGTTACAGCCCCCTTCCCGGTCCTGAAGAGGTGAGGGCGGCTGGTGGCCAGCAGGGCAACAAGATCCCAGGGGATGAAGCCACTTTGCAGCCCAGGGCTTGTGGGCCTTCCCGGCAGTGCCTGAGCCTTCACCCGGCGATTCACCAACTTGGGCATGAACCAGGTCTGCAGTCGCATCTTGGGCAAGATCCGACGAGCCACGGCACGTGGCGGACACTGCTCAACACCTTCAGGGGATCAGAACAACCAAACTGGCTCACACCACCTGACAAATCGCACTTTCCAGCATGGACTCTGTCCGAGTCACGCCGCAACCATGCCGGGGTCACAGCCACCTGCGCGCAAGTCTGGATGGGGACCTGCGAATCGCGCATCAGCTCACGCTCTGCCATCCGAACTCTCACACATCGCAAACTCCTCGAGTGCCCTCCCGCTGTGCTGCGGACATTGAGTCCGGCGAGGCATATCTGCGAATCTGCGGTGCAAGCCTAAGGCCTAATTTATGCAAGTTGAGCTTCTCCTCATTGGACGATTGGACGGACTTTCACGCAGGCCATTTGGCCGCCGCTGTGCATCTCTGTTTGTCGGTTCTCTGTTGTCGGGATCTGCTGCCCCCCAAAACACGGAGCCACAAGCTAACTTCGCCCTCTCTGTCGCCAGCTCTCTCAACCTGTCTATCTCTCTCTGTCTCTCTCTCTTTCTTTCGCCAGCGGCTGAGAGGTCTCGGTTCGGGATGCTTCGAAGCTGCGGAGTTCACCACTCTCGATCGGCATGCCAGAGTTGGCATGCCATCCTGGACTTCCAACACGGAGGGTCTGCGATACATGTGTAAGAACGTGCGTCTGTGTGTCTGTCTGTTTGTCTGTATGTATGTATGTATGCAAGTATGTACGTGTGCATGTACGCATGCATGCATGTGTGATTGCGTATGCATCAATGTATGTCTGCATGTCTGTATTTCTGTATACGTGTATGTGTGTTTTGTTGTTGGTGCAGGAGGGAGCCAAAGCTTGAATATGCAAGACAATCGTCGAGGTTTGGCCTCCACCTTCCTGTGCCGCCTCAAAAGATTTTTCTCGATATTATGGCGAGGCTTCAATAATGCCAACAAAAATAGGGACCGGATGGCTTGGGTTTCAAATCCTCGTGACTGCTGTACAGAACGGGAAGGAATAATTACACACAAGCCGACACCCACAGCGAGAGGAGGATTGAAGCAAAGCCACCCACACCGACCTGCAGCAGGCGCAAGCGATGGGGGTCCATGACTCTTGCGGGAGAGGGGAGGCCGTGGCGTGCGTGACACTACAAGCACACAAGCATGAAAGCATACGGTGCGTACGTATTCAGATACATGCACGCATGCGTGCATGCATGCATACATACACACATACATACAGACATACATACGTACATACATACATACACAGATACATACATACATACATACATACATACATACATACCATATACTGTATGATGCCTACGACAAACACTTTTGTCGCAAGGTTGTCTGTGAAGCAAGATCGGAAGTCCGTTCGGAGGTTGTGTCTTGGCTTGCTGATCAATGACCGGTTCTGATGATCAGAAGTGAGATGCCATCCTAGGCGGAATGACCGGCTACAGGGAGTCTAAGATTCCCGCAAGACACAATCGTGCTAGCAGGCATGTGGCAACTTGGTTGGATACTCTGCCTCGCAGAAGCAAGTTGTCAATTTGCGCAGTCCGTCGAAGGGCCTTTAAAGATGGTGCGTCCACAAGCCAATCCCGTTCAAGTTTAAGCATGGGCCCATGCGCATCTATCGCTCCTTTTGGAAGCTGTTGATACACATTCCGAGTTCCAGTTCGAGGAAAGACAGATCCGAAGAGATGCAGAGAGTGCAACCCCAACCCCAAGGCAGTCTGGGCGGCCCGCCAGCATCGTCGGCAAGCTCGAAGCCAGGATCTCGCGTGCAGCTGCCCGGTCCGTCATGAAGTTCAGATCCAGTCCTGCAGACAACAGCGCCGGAGGAATCACACAAACAAAACAACTCGCGAAGAGAGGAGAAGCGAGAAATATGGAAGAGACAAAGAGAGAAAGAAATGCAGAGGCAAGAGTACCCCTGTGCAAGCGGGTGCGCCCAGGCCCCGCTCGAGCTCACTTTCCGGAATGTTAAAGGCACGTGTCCTTCTTTGGCATGCTGCTGCACCAACCGTGATTCCGAATTCGAGATGAGAAAAACATTCGAAGAAGCTGACAATCTGAATGGCAGAATTCGGGAAACTGGGTCCCGGACTGCTTTGCGTGAGCTCGCCGCCCATGAGCACGGCCATCTCGAGGTGTTCGGCGAGCCAGGGAGCACGACGCAGGGCGCGCGCCAGGTTACTTGGAGGGCCGAGGCACAAGACCTCTGCGTGAGAATCATTTCACAAGCCCAGTTGTCGAGCACGAAAGATGCCAAGTGATTCTGGAGCCTCTGGCGGCTTGGCTGCGAACAGCTCTCCAGATGTTCAACGAGTACTTAGATGCTTCCGGACCAGAGCGCAGCGTTTACTTCTACGTGCCTTCGTGCCAATATTTCTTTCGACCAGCACCAACAAGCAACTCGGCCCACTTCCTGCTTTTGTTTGCACCTAAGCTGTCATCATCCGAAGAAAATGTGCCCAGAGTACCTTTGCCTGAGTCTAGCGCGCCATGCATTTTTCCGGACCCCGTCCCATGGGCCCACCGTGAGACTGCGAGCTGGCAAGGCCGCAGCGGCGCGGATGATGGCCTCGGCAGCATCGCTGGACTCCTCCTGGCGCGGAAGACGCTGCCGGACTCAAAAATCCGCTGAGAATAAAAAGTTGAAAAAAGCCAACTATGTATCAAGCCAATAGCGATGAGACCGAAGGTCCTCGTCGATGCAGCGCGCCAGCGTACGCAAGGAGGCCCATGCCGGCTGCATAGTGTTCCAACCTCAACTCCCATCGGACTGGCACAGTGTATCGCGACAACCTCAAGTTGGCTTCATCCCGGGCCTGCATTCACCCTTCTGATTGGGCATTCTGGTACAAGGGGGAATTGAATCAAAGTCCCGTCCAAATGCAAACCGCCAGAATATTGTCTGGGGAACAAACTCGCAATGTCAACCAACACCCTGAGAAGGGTTTGCAGTAGTAAAACATGCATCCACATTGCAGGAACAAGACATGCCACCTTCCGGCCGTACCGTACAGCTTCCACCCACACACGCACACACACACACACACACACACACAGAGACATATATATATATATATATATATATATATATATTTATTTATTTATTTATTTAATTATTTATATATATATATATATATATATATATACACACGCATATATATATATATATATATATATATGTATATATACACACACACCGTGCTGTCCCATGCGGAGTATTTTGAATGAGGCGACTGCAACCTTCGCGACGAGGGCCGAAGTGTCGAGGTGAGACATGCAAGTGCCACACTTCAAAGGTGAACAAGAACTGCAACTGCATGCCCCATATGCCGCTTTCCGCCTGCGCCTTTCGAAAGATTCCAGTGGAAGTTTGCCACGGACTGCAGGGTCTTCGCGTTTTCCCAGGTGTGCAGCAGCGGTGCATTGCCTCGGCTCAAGGGAGGTCGAATCTGAAAAGCAGACAGGCCTGCGGCTCCCCTTCTGAAGCTCCTAGTCACCTGGTTTTAGTTCAACAACAAGCTTGCTCTCGCTGGAACTGCAAAAGCCAGACTACCCAGCTTTGAAGATGAACGGCTAGAAACTGGCAGGGCACAGCGGTATACATTGATGGGTCTGTGGGGAGTGTGCATTCCCAGGCCTGCACAGATCGACAGGCCTGCCACGGTCGCCTCCCCGGCGGCCTTGCAAGCAAATGCTTTCACAGCACCATGCTTGCGACAAGCACCCTTCGCTGACTTTGATTGAAGCCTCCAGGCCCTGCGCTGCCAAGATGGCGAGGTCATCATCGCAGTCGAGGCCTTTCTTCGGGCGCATCAACACATGCAAACTATGTAAATCCTGATTCCACAGTCCCCAAGAGAGCCACCTGTCCACACAAGACCGGAAGGATCTGCATCGATCCACAGCTGTCGTCTGTGTCGTGGCTGGTCCATGCTGCGTGGCTATTACACTATCGTCGACTATCGTCGTAGTGCTTGCCGCAGTCGTACTAGTACTACTACTAATGATGAGATGGTGTTTGTTGCTGCTGCTGCTGGTCAAGCGTTCATCCGTCCTCGTAGTCGCCACACATGCAGCTTAACTACATGCGAAAGGTGTGTCTGCTTCCATGTGCACGCAAGCTTTTTCTTGACCTCATTCATGACAAAGCCTTTGAGTCAGAGCCCTCGGGGTGTACACGGCTGCACACATGCGCATCTCGAAGTTTTCCGCAAACTGGAATGGCTCATGGTGGCCCGATGCAGCTGCGCAACTGGGAAATTGCAACGTTCGCACTGCTTCAAGCTCGACCAAGTATCTGGCACCGTCTTGTCCCAGATACCTCGAGGCGAAGTCGTACCGTACCACGGACGGTGTCATTGGTCAAGATGAACTCTCAAAACTCCAGTTGGAATCAGAGAACCTTTGCCCTGACAGAGCGGCAACGAAACTGCCGCTGCAGTTGCAGCAACCAAAATGACAGCGACGAAACGCGGACCGAACCTGTTGCAACCAAACGCGGAACGAAAAAGCAGCAACAAATCGCGGTTTCGAAACTGCAACCAAACGTGGACCGAAACTGCTGCAGCCAAAGCGGAACGAAACTGCTGCAACCAATCCCGGAACTACCTACTGCAACTGCAACTGCAGCAACGAATCACGCGGAACGAAACTGCTGCAACGAAACGCGGAACGAAACTGCAGCTAATCGCAAAACGAACTGCTGCAACAAAACTGCAGCAACGAAACGCGGAACGCAACTGCTACAACGCAGAACGAAAATGGAGCTATGAAAATGCGGAACGAAACTGCAGAAAACGAACCTGCTGCAACGAACACGGACCGAAGCTGCAGCAACGAAGCATCTCTCTCTTGGGAAGGGCGCCCCACTTCCCGCGATGTTTTAGCTGAGAGGGTCCAGAACCGGCAGACGAAATGCATGACAAGGGAACGGGGCTGCCATCTGGTGGTCTCACTTCTGGCTGGTTTGCTCTCAGCTCGATTGCGACTGGGGTCATGTCCAGAAAGCTTGTTCTCAGCCTGCAAGCTAGTATATTGCAGCGACCAAGATAAAAGAACCAGTTGAAATTTCCAAGGAGGGGGAAGTGGAGAGAACCCAAAGGAGAGAACAGACCAAAGGAACCAACAGAAGAGGTAAGAAAGAAACACAAACTTACGTTGGTGACGAGTTGCCAAGCCACAAGATCAAGAGAAGACACATCTGAGAAGATGAATGAAGAATCATTTGTTTTCATGGATTTTAAATTCACTGGAACGAAAGATGAAGAAAACACAAAGGAGTAGCAAAGATGCATTGGCAATCGGTTTGTGTTGGTTGAGGGGTTGCTGAATGTTGATGTTGCTAAATTCCAAAGTGATACTGAGAACAGACACGGAACTAGCAATGATTTCATTGAGAAAACAGGTTCAAGAAATACGAAAGTTGAAGAATCTTGAAACCAAGATACAAGACGTTGCTTGGTTCAAACGGTTCGGAACTTATCAAAGACACTGGTGTAGGGTGTTGAAACTGAAAAAAGGCTGTTGGCGCAGTCCAGAAGAATCCAGACCAGCTTGCAAAACTGCCATCGGCTCGTTGGATACACTTACAGCTCCGAAAATGACGCTTTTATATTCCCCGTTCTTGTGTTTGGTGTTTTGTGTAGCAGGGATGAATTGCTGTCGACAAAGCCCACACAAACATAGGTCGTTCAGCTCACTGTCATGGCACAGAATGCATCGAGACTGGAGACTTCCTTAATATTTGTTTCAAAATGTTGGAGATGCCGCCTGCTCGCATTTCCTGTTGTTTGCTACCTTCGCCAAGAATTTTTTTGGAGCTTCTTCAGTCTTTTTTGGCAGTTTTGTGCAGAAGAAACCGAACATAAACTGCGATGAAGGTTTTGCCAACGCGGAATGTCAAACCGTTCTATTTTGGCGTCGACGGGCCTCGGTGGCTGCTGCAGCGCTCGGTCCCAAGAAACATCCTAAACACGCGAAACAAACACACGAAAACAGCGGTGAAACAGAATAGAGAAGACTACGTACTAGCTGCGGCGTGCGGGCTTGGTCAGCGTAGAAAAAAAGGGTCTCGCTCAGCGACCTCAAGCTAAAGCGACAGAGGACCGCGTCCCAAGCCGCCCAAGAACAAGTGGAGCCCAAGAAAAGCTCCGGCAGCCGTTCTAGTCCCGTTGGACAACGGACAGCCCTCGTGCCTTAGTTAAGCGAGATCGTGCACGGAAAAATCCACAAGTCCAGAAGTCCAAATCTGACGACTGGAGATCCCATGCTTCGCAATTGCCGTCCCCTTGCTTGCTTTGAACGGAACCAAATTGGGAATTTCCCTTGAAATCTTTGCGGTCTGTGCGTACTGAGGAGAATTCCATCGACATCCAGAATCACGTGGTGGTCACTCTGTGTGCTTTGCTGTCCGACCCTAGCGCATCGGTTTTATCGCACAGTAACCATTCCAGAATTTAGTTACATTCTCGCACGTCACAGAGTGGGCCTGTTTCGACTCTCTGATGTCATGAAAGCATACAGTCGAGGTTTTTGCTGCAGTGGATTCACTATCGGCCATCTCCTTCTTTGTACTTTTCACCAGGCCGCTTTCTTGTTCTTCTCATCTTGGGCCGCTTTCTTCTTCTTCTTCTTATCATCTTCGCATTATTCACTTTCTTTCTTTTCGTCATCCTTGGCATCAAGCTTTCTGTGGGAACAGGGCAGGCCCTTCGAGGCTTCCTGCAAGTGGAGCTTCCAGACGCAAAAAGCACCGCGCACGTTTTTTTGGCGTATGCGGGCCTCGTCGACTACAGCTGTAGCACTCGGTCCCTACAAACTAACAAACCAACAAACAAACGAAAACAGCGGTGAAACAAGATACCTAATTAAAGAGGGCGAAACTAGCTGCGGCGCACAGGCTTTGCCGGTGTTAGCCGTTCAGCACCAGCTACGGGTCCTCAGCGACCGTTCCACAACAACAGTGGGCCGTCGCCCAAAGCTGTCCAAGACCATCAGTGGAGCCCAAGTCAAGGCTCCGGCCGCCGTTCTAGTTCCGTCGAACAACGGTCGGCCCCGAGGTCCTGTTGTGTCCCGATCGTGCACGGAAAAATCCACAAGTCCAGAAGCCCAGGGCCAGAGGCAAAGGCAAGACCCGTCGACGTATGTCGAAAGGTTGGACACAGTGGCCGGCCATTGAGTCCAAAGTCTGAAAGGGCCTCGCTCCTAGGTAGGGGGCCATTGATCGAGCACGCGCTGCATGTCGTTGCCACTTCTCGGAAAGTGGGAGTCTCGCAGAAGGTACAGCAATTGATACTGGCCCTCTTCATACAAGTCTTTGAGACGGTGGAAGCCGTACTGGAGGGTGTCTTGGTCAGGTTCATGAAGATGTGGCATAAGCTCAGTGGAGATGAATGGAAGCTGAATTAAAACGCTTTACGGGTACGTTCCGGACCCTTCCACTTCACACAGATATTCGCACTTCACTTTTCCTCGGGCGCACAGCTGTCTTGGGCGCGTCCCTTGAGCCTAAACACCACAGTGGAACATTTGTTCCATGCTATACAAAACCATGTGGCAAACAGCTCAACTACAGGATTATAGGGCAACACACTCCTGAGCGAAATGTTTGTTACCCCCTCTTCGTGCATCCTCTTCTGTCCTTTTTCCTTTCTAGAGGTGCTACGAACCCAAAACAGTCGCTCACTCCTCCTTTTGAAACACTCGTTGTGCACTGCTTTTTGTCGTGGTGTGAGACGAGTGAAACAGAGCTACTCCTACTGGCCGCTCTCAAACTCGTGCACTTCTTTGGCCTTTTCAGCGTCAAAAGAACTCGTGGTGGCCGCAGCCACAAAACTCTTCAAACTCTTTAAACTCTCCTCGTAGAGAAACTCTTCGGCTTCTCGTGGTGCAGCTGTCGTTTCAGCTTTCAGAAAACTCTTTCCTTGTTCGGGAACGAAGTTCCCCCTCTCGGCTTTACAGCCTTCAGATTCCCTTTTTCTTTATAGACCTCCGGTTTGGTCTCTTTCTTCCATCCCTCCTTGTTTATAGACCTGAGGTACGGTCTTCCTCTATCCTCTCTTTTCTCTTTTAACTGCTCTTCTGCTGGGCCTTTTTGCCTTTGCCCTTCTCCGCATTGTCAGTGCGGTATTTCTTCTTATTCGTCTCCAACCTGTTGGCGTATGCCCTTCGGATTATCAACTCATTTCTCTTGTACCAGGACTGGAACTGCTCCTTGCTCATTTCTTCTCGTTGCATCTTTGGAGCATACTGCCCTGAGGCAGTATAGTTGTAGTCCGCATCCCAGCACGTTTCGGAACCATGTCCGAAACGTGAACATACTCCACATACCTGTGCCTGCGTTGAGGCATCAGGGTCTTCTTCCACTTTCACTTCTTCTTTCACAGCCTGCAGCTCATCCTCCAGCGCCTTGTTGTTCTTGCCTAGCTCTTTGATAGTTTCCTTCATCTTTTTACGTTCCTCTTTCATCTTCTCTACTTCTTCGCTTTGCTGGGCTTGCGTTGATCCTGCACTACTTTTTCTCTTTTTCACTTTGCGCAGCTCTTCATTCAATTCTCCAATCTCCTTCTCTTTGCTTCTTTGAGATCCGTGATCTCCTTTTCCTTTTTCTCCAACTCCTCTTTCATTTCTCTCTCTTTGGCCTCCATGATTTCCTTGATCTCTTTCGTTTTCTTTTTCTCCATCTCTTCGATCAGCTTCTGATCGCTTTCGCTCAAAAGCAATCTTCCTTCTGGCACTTTCAGTTCCTTCCTTTTATTCTTCAACTCTTCGAGGGCATCATGGAGCGTAGGGCGGAGCCGGTCCATCTCTTTCATGAGTGCCGACTCCTCATCCATGATGAGGGTGGCCTCCACTTCTTGCTGCTCCTCCTCTTTCCGCAACTTATCGAGTTGCTTCTCTATGGCCTCCTTGGCCACGAAGGCTTCATCTGCCA